GAGACTGTTGATAGCGTGCCGAATGCTCCAAATTAATAACATTACTAACCTAACTACTAAATTGCATATAGGGTAAGCAAGGTTCGACCCCACAGGGAATGATTCGATTAATTCCTATATTCTAACCAAAAACCACAACGAAAAATAAAATAAAATAAAATAAAATCCTAAACAGTAAACATGACAATAGTAATGGAAGGGGTTGTAGTCAATGCAAACTAAAGTGAAATAAATAAATCTCCAATGGTAGAAAATATCAGATTAAAAAGCAACCAGTTCTCGGTTCAAGATCCACCTAAACATGCATTGGACATGAACTAACCGTAACATTATTCTATTTCGTTATTATGGAATTATTGACCCTAGGAAACAATAAGCTCTGTTACCCGAATTTTCCCTTAATTGTCACTACTAAAATAAGCTCTTCAATTAGATCCTAACCCTTGAACAACCTAGAATAAGCTCTCTAAGTTGAATTCAATGGCAGCCTTAAGAATTAGAAAATAGATCAATCCAAGCAACAATCACGCAAGATCAGATTATTTAACTTAGGTTATGTTATTTAAGATGACAGATTGAGAACTTGTTTGTAATCATCTATCATCATGTGTTACTCATTGAATAGAAAAAGGACAATTATGTATCACAATTTCTAATTCTAATAGATAAAATTCCGATTAAACAATTTAGCAGGCCATTACTAAATCACCCAAACAAAATTCATAAACAATTAAAACATAATAACATAAACAATTCCAATAAGAATGAGATTAAGAACAATGTTATTGAAGTTAAGTTACACAAATGTCATGAATTCAGGCTTCAAAATCCCAAGTAAAAAAAACTAAGAAAGACCTCCACTCCTCCTTTTTCCCCCATTTAACCTAACAACTCATAAATAAATAACATATTTTTTTTTCTCAATTCTACCCTAGGAATCACGGAAATTACTTTCCTAGATCTTTCCTAAAAGATAGACTTCCAAAACTATCAATCCTTATCAGATATGGAAAACAGAATTCATGATCCAGCTAGCACCAAGATTCTCGCAATGTAAAAGAACTTTTCTGGGCTTGGTCACTTCATAAAAGCTATAGTCCTGGATGTGTAGATGAATTTGGGATTTTGAATCACCTGCTTTCGATATCTGAAGCTCCAGTTAGGCCCATTCGAAGACTCAATACTCAGCCAAGAAATCCTTCGGCAAGTAGGATTCTAGGTCCGGTTTTGCAACAACTAATGAGGGCCCAAACGAACTCGGATTCTCACCCATAATACCTTTATGGAAGGCTTGGTTTGTCTACTTTACTTTTTCTGAAGAACACTTCTGCAATCGAGAAATCCGACTCCATGAAAAACCTGAAAAACACAGCATTGGTCAGAATAACAAAAAATCTGGAATTTCCTAATCTTTTCTCAATTATTTCATAAAGTCTATCCAAATATGCCAAACTGACATAATAAACTCTAATCAACTCAACTAGGCATAAAACATAACAAAAAAACATAATATGGAAGGAACAAAAAAATATTTAAATTCCACTCTTATCAACTGCATAAGAGAGGAAACAAAGGTTAAACTCTATTTTCCTGAAAATCATAAGGGGAATGAAAACCAACCAATATTGGGAAGTCCTCGACAAGAACGAGCTGTCTTACCTGGCCTTGTAGCTAGAGCGTTGTAGCCATCAGGTCTGCGGGTTAGGAGGCCACAAACTCTTCAAAAGCTGCAGCAAGTTGGCACTCTAATAGGGTATACACCACTGGATACAGGTGTTCCGAGAGTTGTTCCATAGAGTCCAACACAGGTGTGTCTGCCCCTGAAGGAAATGGCATCTTGCCGGCTGATTGTTTGCCTGCTCTCCTTTGGGCAACTTCGGCCTCCCCTTATCCTCTATGCAAGCACTCCAGCCCTCGAGCAGAAGGCCTGGTAAGGCTACGACCTCCTGGCTTGCACCCCTAAGCTCTCTAGTTTAGACTCTGATTCTTCAGCCCCTAGCTGCTTCCTTTTCTTAGTTTTTGACCCATGGTTTTCTGTTTAGGAGCATAAGTAGCCGTGGGTTGAGAAGCTTCCTTTTGTCATTTTGAGGGTGCTCATGCACCTATCTGTATCCCTCCTATGGGGGTATCACTAGGGATTGCCTCGATTGGCTCAATCGGAACGATCCAAGGAAAAACAAACCCCTTGGTCCTTGTTGTCGGTCTCGAAACTCTAGGTGGCATAGTCACTGCATGAAAGCATGGTTAGCGAAAAAGACCACTACAGGTAAAAGAAAGGAATTCTAAAGTGCGAAAACACTTACGGACTAAGGGTTCCAGAGATGCTTCAAGATTGAAGAAACCGTATTTCCTTAAATTGGTGGTAGTCAGGAGTAGTTTGCGTCGTGACTTTGCTTAGACAGATTACCAAATGCCACAATTCGGTTGAAATCAGTCAGAGTCGTCAACCTGGTCATCTTATTTCCTGCAAAAAGATGAAAAAGTTCATTAGAAAGCAAAGACTAAAGGAAAGGGAAAAATCCGCAAAGTAAAGGAAGGGAAAACCTACTCGGTCGTATTAAAAAAAGAAAAATTTGGTTTCATAAGCCCCGACGTTACTAGGGTAACTAAATATTCCTCCCTCAATCGTAGATCGCTTCGAGAGGTAAAAAAAGTCTTTATCCTTGCTCTTCTTTAGGTAATAAGAGCATGTGAGCTCTAGCGTTGTTAGCTAGCTGAGGCCATTCTCACTACATGCGATATACATGGCAACAACTATCATATACGCATTGTGTGTCTATTGTAATAGCGCGACCTTGAAGTGATCGAGAATCGATCTAATGAAGGGGTGAAAAAGTATCAACACCCCGTATTTGAAGATCGCCTCTAAGATCGTGGCCATTTCCTTTGGAGGATTCCAAGCGGTATATGTTCTGTGCTGGTAGACGTCCATGCTAAGTGCGTATTGGTCCACTACCTTCTGTATCTTATCTCGGATGGCCACTGACAAAATCTCTTGCACGGGTCCCGCTAGGGTATTCGGCGCCTGTGAGCTCGGTCCCTCGGTTGTTCTGATCCCTAAGGCATCCATTGCTCTTAAGGTTATAGAGATAGCTCAATCTTCGTACAATATTCCATACGATGACGTGAAAGAACTAAAGAAACCCTAATTTACCTTCCTTGAACCCTAGGAAAACCCTAAAAACCCTTGGGAATCAACCCTAAGGATTCGTGACCTAAATTTTTACTCTTCATGAAAGAAAAAGCCTTCTCCTCACAAATGCCTGCAAAGATGCACCACGAAAGTTTACCAAACGATTCATACCCACCATTATCATCAAGTCAAGCTACTAGCAAAATAGTGAAAAAGAAGCGAAGAAGAAATCCTCCTTACCTCTTGGCAACGGTGAATGGACTTTTTGTCGTAACGAAGAGTGCACATCAACTGGAAAAAGGGAGACTGATTTCATCAGAGCTTTGTTCTTTCTTTGAAAGTATGAGTTTTGTGACAAAGCTTGAGGCGAGCCTAAGGTTTTATAGGGGGAGGAAGCGACGATCGATTTCCCTAGGCAAGCGACGCTTGGGGGAGATACGTTTCTTGCCATTGATTGTGACCACGTGTCATCAATCCATAAGAAGAAGTAATTGCCACGCTTTGAGATGCCAATCAACGCTTCCCTCTATTTGAGCAACCAAGCGATGGCTCGATTATCTCTTCCATATTAAATGTGCCCTCATCCGTATTTAACGCTCTAAAAGAAAATTTCGTTTCAACATGGCTTGCATTTAATCAGCATGGCTGGCATTTATTACACACTAGACACGTCTGTTAGAATAAAGATGATTTTATTAAACAGTAGCTGTCAAGCGTAACGAATAACATCTAAAGAGGTCGTTTAGGCAGAACACTTTTCGATGCGTATCAGTTTTGAGACGGTGTAATTCCCTGTTCTCGGTGAAAAAATGTTAAGTATTCTTAGGTCGCGAACCACGGATGAGATTTGAAACATATCTATACAGCACTAAGTGGGGTCTGATCCAGGTCGTTGAACTCGTGGAAGAAGGCCACCTTAGGTCACTTGTACTACCTTTAGAGACACATGTTGTGACCTCTTTGCAGCTCAATCAGCTCTACTAAACATCATTCGGGACAAGTCAAGTAGCTGCATAATTATGAAGTTCTCAAGGTTCAATCCTTAAAGCTTAAAAACTGGGGGACTTCTGTTATGCCTAAAAAGTTAGGGCTGACGTGGACTCTCGTCAGTAAGAGCCAATCAAGATTCAGGAAGGTTTTGTGTCGTCCAAATGTTGCCACATTGTGCAGTGACGGGAGAGGTATGGTTCTTGTCAGCGCAACAGATGAATGCTAGGCTTGCGAGTGGCTAGGGGTTATTCACCTGCCTAAACCCTACGCAATTTGATGATATTTTTCGTACAGATAACCAATGGGATGCAAGGAAGGACTTGCACAACACCTACCCACTTGCAGACTCGTCATCATTACCCCTCTCATTTACGGGATTGACTAATCTTAATTTAAAATAGCTTACACACATTCTCTCTAGATTGTAACTCAGCTCACCACCCGCGACCTGATTGTACCCATCTATAAATACAATAGCAATGGACGTAGAATTCGGTTTTGAGCATCCGAACCACTTTAAAAATGGTTTCCCATTTATTCTCTAGTTTCATATTTTCTTATCACGTGTAATTTCTAAGTCTGCTTAGCACTTTGCATGTGCGAGTCATTGGTGTCAAAGTCAAGCATAAACATTTTTGAAATTTTATTCTATATATGTGAATTTCTTTGAAATTTTCTAAAATTGTGAATGTAAATTAGGGATGGTGTGAGCTTTAATCTTGAATTCTTTTAGTTTATATGATGATTTTAATTTCATAGCCTTGCTATTAATAAAAGGCATAGGCTAAAAGTAATTGAAAGAAAAGATCAAAAACTGTTTGACACATTTTAGCTCATTTATCAAGAAGAAAGGTAGTTTAAATCTTAGGAGCTGCAATTCATGATCAACAACGCTTATATTTAACTTCTTAAATCAAACATTCAAACTCAATAAAAGTATCCATCAAAGGGATTTAACTTTAAAATGAAAATAAAATACAAATAGGTTGATAAAATGCTGGTGACCTAGCAGATCATCCCAAAAACTCCATTCTCTTTTCACCTTGCTCAAACTGCTTGACGAAGATATTAATATCTTAGCCTTGTGATTAAAAACAACAACAACATAGAAAAAAAAAATTAGAAAAATAGTTGAAAAATTACAAGGAAGTTTATCTCCTAAACAAAAGAGAGGGTTTAAATCATACCTCCCTGCCTGATGAGAACAGTACTAGGCTGGAGAAGGATGTTCTTGACCTCTTGTAATTCATGAACAACATTGGTTATGTTCATTCGATCTTGTGGTATCTCCATTGAACATGCCACTCCGACCCTTACCATTGAAACGAGGCATTCCTTTCTTTTAATGTTTCTCTCTTGTACCAGTATACGATTAGTAGCAGCAACCTCTTCAACCTCATTTAGAAGTACTGGATCGACTATGTCCATCACCCGGTCAGGCAAGGCCATTCTAGCAAAATTGTGAAGATTGAGGCCTCCCTCAAACATAAGGTCTGTGGGCCTTTTCCTTGTTACCATCTCTAACAACAAGATCCCATAACTGTAGACATCCCCATATGTCGACAACTAACTTCCAAGACCATACTCTACAATTCACAATAATATTATATTAGAAAGAATATGATCTTTGACAAGTAATTAACTGTTCAAATTATCAAATCTTGTCGTTACCTGGGGCTGCATAGCCTATTGTTCCTATTACGCCAACAGAGCTGCTTTGATTTGGATTTGAGACTTCTGGGAGAAACCTTGCAAAACCGAAATCTCCAACATGAGCTGTCATGTCATCATCTAGAAGAACATTGCTGGGCTTTAAATCGCAATGGAGGATTAGCTTATGGCAACGATAATGGAGATAATCTATTGCAGATGCCACATCAATTGCAATGTTTATTCTCTGAAGAAGGGTAAGATTCTGAATTTGAGGTTGCTCTTCTTCTATTTCTAGAGATGGGTGCAGCCACTTGTCAAGACCCCCATTTGGCATGTACTCATAAACAATAGCTTTAAAGTCATTGCCCTGAAAATCAATACTTGAGCAAGAAGTTATGACTTTTACAAGATTCCTGTGACGGATATTTCTCAACACTTTACACTCTGCCATGAAACTCTTGGAAGCTCCTCGACGTTGAAGATTTAGTACTTTGATTGCAGCAATAGTTCCATCTTCATCAAGGATACCCTTAAACACAGAGCCGAAACTTCCCGCACCAATTAAGTTTATTGAAGAAAACCCATCGGTCGCTTTGAGTAGCCTTTCATATGATACATTCAAAAGTTCTTTTATCAACCTGGATCCAGATTCAGAAGGTTGTTTCCTGCTTCTCTTTCTGAGCCAACAAAAAATGAATAATGACATCATGGTTAGTCCTAAAAGGACACTTGCAATTGATATCAATATTTTGGTTCGCGGAGAGATCCTCTCTTTCTTTGCGTTCTTGCTAGTGCATTTGAGCAAATGTAGTTCAGCTATTCCTCCACAAGGTCTACCACTATTTCCAACAAGTGATATTGCACTTGCATTTGCAAAAACACCTTTTGATGGCACTTCACCCTCAAAGTTATTGAAGGATAGGTTTAGATTCTCCAAAGGGAGAGTCTCCAAGAATTTTGGAATTTGGCCAGACAAATTGTTGCGAGAAAGATCAATGATTCGAATACCTCTCAGAGAACTCAATGATGCAGGTATAAATCCTTGGAAAGCATTGCCATCCATTGCAAGATATTCTAGACTAGAACAAAAACCAAATTGACTCGGAATTTCACCTGACAAATTATTATCGGACACATCAAAATTGGACAAGACTTTTAGGCTACCGATGTTTGAAGGTATGGATCCAATCAATTGGTTTTGGGATAGATTTAGTGAAATTGACAGATACGTTATTTCGAAAACTTGTTTGGGTATGGTTCCATTGAGTTCATTTTGGGAAAGATCCAAAATTTCCAATTGTTTCAAATTTCCTAGACTACTAGGGATGACTTCTGATAATTTGTTATCTGTCAACCATAAGATAATGATTTTCGACAGGTTCCCCAAAGAAGGAGGAATTTTGCCAGTGAGTTTATTGGTAGACAGATCTAAATATTCAAGGTTCTGGAGTTTACCTAATTCTTCGGGAATTGTGCCTGAAAATTCATCTCTATACATAGTCAAGGAAGTTAAGTTAAGAAGGTAGCCTATCCCTGATGGGATTGTTCCATAGAAATTATTCCCTCCAGCATCTAATATTTGTAGATTAGTACTAGAAAGGTTACCTATTGAATGGAGCAAAGGTCCTCTGAATTGGTTTTCAGCTATAGAGAACTTCCTCAAATTGCTGCAGTTGGCCAAAGAGTCGATAAAACTCATCTTATCACCTTCGCCACTTTGTATATTATTGCCGGCCAAATACAGGTCTTGAAGGTGTTGCATTCCTCCAAAATCAACACACAATTTTCCTGAAAATTCATTATCTCCCATCAGAATATATTTGAGTTCTGAAGCATTTGATAAAGACACTGGAATAGATCCACCAAATGAGTTATGTGAGATTTGAAAAAGCTGGAGACGAGGAAGAGTAAGGCCTAAATTTGCTGGAAGACTTCCCTCAAGTTGATTGCCAGACAAAGAAAAATTAACAAGGAAGGACAGGTTGTATATAGAGGGAGGGACAACACCAGATAGGTTGTTTTTAGCAATTCCAAGAGATGTTAAATTTTTCAGCTGACCCAATGAATCTGGAATATTTCCTCCAAAAGGATTTGAAGCAATAGATATCACTTCCAGGGAGGTAAGATTCCCAAGAAACGGTGGGATGCCTCCCGTCAAACTATTGAAGTGCAGAGCTACTGTTTTTAGGTTGGACAAGGAGACAAACTCCGGTGGAATTTTCCCTACTAGCTTGTTTCTCCCTAAAAATAAGAATGTGAGCCTGGAACAACGGGACAAGTTGGCTGGAATTTCTCCCACCATGGAGTTATTTTGAATCTGTAAATCTTCTAATCTGAACAGACGACCAACTTCTGGAGGGATTTCTCCTTGGATACTATTGTTTGAGAGATCGAACTTCCGTAGGAAGCTGAGGTTGCCAATGTGTGGTGATAGGGATCCAAACAAGCCTTTAGAACGTAGGCTTAGGACGGTGACTCTTTGATGCCTGCGACCACAGGTAATCCCCTCCCACTCGCAAAAGTGGCGAGAATCATTCCACGAGTTTAGAACCCCTTGAGGATCATGAATAATCTTTGACTTGAAGGCCTGCAAAGAAACACGATCAGTCTCCTGTTGAGCCAATCTGGAACTAACAAAAGTGGTAACTTGCATAAGCAAGGTGCACATAAGTAAAACAGAGCGAAAGCATATCATTGTGTTCATTTCTATGACTGAGATGTGAGCCTGCTTAACCAAGCCTTACACCTTTATATAAATATGGTGCGCTTGTGAAACTCTTTTGCCTATTCAGTGGGACTAATTATTGCAAATGTGAACTGAAGACAAGGAATTGACTGATGGTACGTAACTTAACTAAAGATTTCCTTGTCGTGTATATGACTGATGGTATGAAAAGGAGAATTGTGGTTCACTTGTGGCCCAAAAGCTTCACCATCAAATTCACCACGCATGGCCCTCTCTCCTGAATTATTATCGAAAACGACAATACTGGCAGTTGTTATGCAAACAATAACATATATATTCCCACACGTAAATCGTATACATTTATCGTACCTTCCTTCTCCTCTCCTACAAGTATAAACTTGAGGCAAAAGCTTATTAAGTAATTGTTTTGTCAAAGAAAATGTTACTGTTTTAGTTAGCATGAGTTGAATTGATAGAGAAATTTTATATCCGTATTGCACATGTTAAATTTCCTTAGTCTTTGTTTGTATCTATTCTAGTATTTTTGTTCTTTTCATCTTATGACAATATAATACACAATTCATAAGTGAAAGCTCATTATATGATTTCATCTAATATATATATATATATATATATATATAACATTATCTTCGTGGCATAAGATTCAACTTTCATTTATTTATGAACTTCATGTGCTGGGAAATATGTATTAACTTTAAAATCATATAAGTTGATAGAATGTAAGTTGTCAGGCAGGTTCTCATCAACTTGAGGGCTAACAGTTCTCTGCTTCATGTTATGTCTTTTTTTTTTTCTTTTTTTTTTTTTTTGAGTCTAATTGGACGTTACAAATGCTTCAATCTGCTTATGATTTGAAAAAAACAAATTATTATTTTCCTCTTGCTGAGAAAATATTTATCCTTCAATTTAATTTTAAAAATTCCAAGGACCTCCGGCAGTTGGTGTGCTACACACAAGAAATTAATCAATGCAGAATCTTTTCTTTTCTCAATTTGAAGTCGAGTCAAGTCTCTTAAAGTCTTAGTCTCTTAGATAAGGTAAAAAGGTATCCAGGAGTCTTAAGTGGAGTCAAGTCTCTTATCGTCTTAGTTAAGTGGAGTCAAGTCTCTTAACAGTCTTAGAAAGTTGCAACAAACTTTTCCAAGAAATTTCCAATGAACATAAATTAAGAACACATGGCATGCACAGCAGTAGTAAAGAACAACCTTTCAACTGGAAATATGGGGTCCTCATCTTATGTGGCTGTATGACTCGTGTTTAGTAATTTAGAGTGTGGACAAATCGGCAATTATTAAAATCATCAAATTTTAAACAATCGTTCCATGTTTTATTAATATCATCAAAACCATCCTCCCAAGAGTTTTTAGACAATATTAATTTGATTAAATGATATGTAGATTTATCGACTTGCACAAATCATTCTAATACCAATTGTGTCATCAAACGCACATCTGACAACAGGCTCCACTGGTTGTTCACAACCACCACCAGCAATTACATAATGGTTGACAGCTCACTTCCAAGACCATACTCTGAAACCCAACAAGAATAACATTAGAAAGTATATAATCTTTTGAAAAGTAAATTACCCGTTCAACTTTTGTAGAAAGCATGAGTTAATATTAATGTAGCAGAAGATTAAAAGTCTTGAGGTTCCCTTGGGCTGCATAACCAATTGTTCCTCTTACTCCAGCAGTCGAGCTGCTATGATTTGGATTTGACACTTCTTGAAGAAACCTTACTGGCTTGAAATCCCAACATGAGCTGTCATGTTGTCTAGAAGAATATTGCTTGGCTTTAAGCTGCAATGCATGACTGGCTTCTGGCAGTGGTGATGGAGATAATTTAGTGCAGATGCCACATCAAGTACTCGTGGGTGCTCACATGGTGTGAACAAATTATAATTAGGTTAGGAAAAGCACCTACTCAATAGGTTTCCTCTTCCTCCCAAGAACTGAGGGCCTCTGAAATCTGGGGCCACCTATCCGCCACTTTTTAAAGGTTGCCATGGAGTGTTGTGCGGCTTCATACACTGCACATGCAAAAGCATTTTGACATCATCGCTAATATAGATGGGACATGAAAATGGAAGATATGTGGTTAAATGAGCAAAAATAATCTCACAGTTAGTTTCTTCTTTTGTTAAAATCGTCAAGAATTTGGAAGCCATTACATACGCTACAGTGTGTGCCTTGGTTAAGATATCCTGATACCTCATCTGAAATGTAGACAAGAGCATCTTTCCAATTGTTCGATCACCAACCCTTTCCATGAAAACAAAAAACAAGAGCTAAGTAAATAAAAACTCAGTGAATTTCATGTTGGCAACTTGAAAAATGATTAGCCAACTTCACAGTTCAAAGCAAAAGCTTGCAACTAAAACTGCTAATGAATTGCTTACTGTTAATTAATTACATGTATACCATCCATCCTACATAACTTTATATGTGTTAAGTGTGCTCTTCCTGAAGTAGATGTAATGAAGCAGCATCATCATGTTAGAGATAAAGGAACAAAGAAGTATCCACAACCACATAGCTAGTCCATCATCATGTTAGTGGACTATGGAAGAAGAAGATTGAATGAATGAACGAAGCCGAGAAGGAGAATCGACTGAAGTAGTGAGTGGAGAAGCGAAGATGCGCGCAAATTGAATAATTGAATGGGGAAATGGGGGGAATTAGGGATTGGAAATTAGGTTGGGATTATATAGGAATGGGTTTTTAGTAAATAAATTAAAAGATTTGGTCATTTCTACTCCTCATTTTTTTTTTAAATATATTTCATATTTTATAAGCCACTTTAGTGGCTAACCAAATTTCCTCCGGCGGGGACACAAAAATTGGGTGGGAACATGAAAACTTCAATTAATTTTGGCGACTAAATCCAATTTAGTTGTTATAGATGTGTTTTTGCAACTACTTTTAATATGCACAAAATAATTTGTTACTAAACGTATCCTAAGCCATTTGTAATTATTGTCAAAAACTTCGATATAGTAATTTTTTTATTCTGTAACTAATTTAGCTACTATAATATAGTTTCCAATAATTATTTTCTATAACAAAAAATTTAGATGCAAAATCACATATTTAGATGTCAATTATTCCACTGCACTGAGAAGAATTTCTACACAAAAATTGATAACTAAATAAATTAGTTGCAAATGTAAATTGTTTTGCAACTAATAAAATAGTCGTTGAATATTAATTTTAAATGTCAAACGTGGGAATAAATGGCCCCCAAAGTTTTATCCCATTTTTGCTGATCAATTACATTTTAGTTCCTAAATGTAGGGTATCTATGACTAATATTGGCCAGTTGCTAAAAATTTGGTTGCAGAATGTACATTTTCTTGTAGTGATTGTTAAAATTAAGACATTAGTTTAACGGTAAGGGGCATTCTTGTCCCTTCGCACAAATATTATTATAGAGCTAATATCACTTACACCCCTACAATACAAATTGATGACAATAACCACCTTCACCAACTTGGAAATTAGCATTTTATATATATATATATATATATATAGACACACACACACACAGAGAATTTTGGTTTTGAGCTATTGTGGCTTAAAGCTTAATTGTTTGATTATGATAGAATGTATCTTTTTAAGTTATTGAAGACCTCTAAGGGGCGTTTGGTTGGCGATAATGTCAGATTATTAGGGTAATGTCATCTTATATTACTTAATTACCATGTTTGGTTGTCAAGTAATATAAGATTCCGATAATCTTCAAATATCAATAGTAGTTACTATTGGTAATATTGGAGGTAATCTGATTACCTCCATTTTCTTAGGTATTTTGAGATTACTAGGGTTATCTTTTTTTGTTATAATTTTATCCCTTATTAATAAAAGTTTTGGACAATAATGCCCTCATTTTAAAATAAATTTACATTAATATCCTATTTCAATTTTACCCTTGTTTAACTAAAATTTTGGACAATAATGTCCTTATATTTAAAACAATTTACAGACCACCACTGCTACTCAGCCACCCCCACCACTGCCACCCAACCACCACCGTCGCCGAAAAGTCACCGGAGTCCCTAAAAAAGAATGAGTTTTGGTGGGAGGCTTCAATATGGCCGTTTCCGGCCATATTGATTGTCGAAAAAGGCCATATCAGGCCAGATCTGGCCGATAATGGCCAAGGATCTGGCCGGAAATGGCCAGAATAGATCTAGCCATTTCTAGCCTGATATGGCCGTTTTTGGCCATCAATATGGCCAGAAACGACCATAGCTAAGCCTCTTGGTTATGATGAGCTGTTGATGGGGACTTTCGAAGACTTCCGACGGTGGTCTGCGATGGCGGCAGGAGGTGAGGGTGATTTCATAATAAATTAAAGTTTTATATAAGTGGGGGTGTTTTAACTAAATCTGAAATATTAGGGGTTAAAAAAAATTATTCAAAAATTAATAATAAAAATAATATTATATTAATATTTGAAAAGGGGACAATTTAATAATTTAAATAATATACCCACCAATTTATTCCCCATAATCAAACATATTAATATAACATACCCACCAACTAACCAAACACATTCTCCTAAAGATTCCTAGTAATTTTCCAAGGTAATCTATCTTTTCAATAATCCAACATTCCCAGTAATCTAACATTCCTGAACCAAGCGCCCCCTAAAAGAGTTTATATCAATAAATTTGAGATACATTGATAGTTTACTCATAAATAATGAGACATAAACTTATTTAATATAAAGTATTAAATAATTGGAATTTAATTGATACATAAAAAATTCTTGAAAGGGAAATCATTCTTAAACTAGAAACTTAGAAAGAAAAATCTCACAAACTTGATTGAAACAAAGAGAGTACATATAATTAGGGGTGTTCGGTTCTGGGTACCTTGCATTTTTTGAAGGAACAGGAACCGACAGTTCTTTAAAATTTGAAACCAGAACCAGAACCGATGGTTCCAGTTTCTGGGTACTCAGAACCGAAACTTGTAACAATGGTTTCGATTCTGATTTTAGGTATCTTATAAAATTACAATTACCCTACAAAATTTTTTAAAATGGAAAAAAAAAAAGCTTGCCCTCCCTCTCTGACACTTGTTAACAAAAATAAAATTACAAACTCCATTACTTTGTGAAGGTAAATTCTCAAAAGTCAAACCAACTTACTTTAAATGTTATAAAATACAAATATAAATGTATTTACATTACTGTTTTTACAAAAGTTTTTATTAACACCCCTCCTCTTTAATTTTATTTTATATTAGTCTTGGCTCCCACTTTCAATTCCAAAAATTTGGAACTGGAACCTACCCGTTGACGGGTAGGTTCCGATTCTAATTGATTCTTTTGAACACCCCTACATATAATATAAGTTAATAAAATATATAGCTCAGAAGAACTTCTTGATAACTGTTATATCATCTACCTCCTTGTGTGTCCATCAATAACAACCTGCTGATGATATTCATTTCATAACCCTACATTAAAAAAAAAAAAAAAAAAAAAGGAATTAAAAGAATAATGCAAAAATGGTGGGAGATTTTACCTCATTATCTAAAAGAGAGGTAATTTAATTTTTTTTCCGTCTTACCTTCTTGCCTATTGAGATTTAGAAGGATGTTCTTGGCTGATTTTAGTTCATTCACAATATCTATTGTATTCATTCGATCTTGTGGAGATTCCATTGAACATGCCACTCCAATCCTTACCATAATATTGAAATATTCCTTTCTGATGTTGTTTCTTGTTTCCCTCAGCTTATGGTTTGTACCAAACGCCTCTCCTTCATCATTTAGAAGTAGAGGATCCACAATGTCCATCACCCGATCAGGCAAGGCCATTTTGGCAAAATTGTGAAGATTAAAGTCTCTTTCAAATATGGGGTCCGTGGGTTTTATGCTTGTTACCATCTCCAACAACAACATCTCATAACTGTAGACATTTCCATTTGTCAACAACTCACTTCCAAGACCATACTCTGCAATTCACAATAATATTATATTAGGAAGTATATGATCTTTGACAAGTAATTAACTTTTAAAATTAAAACAAATTGTGGTTACCTGGGGCTGCATACCCTATTGTTCCTCTTACTCCAACAGAGCTGCTTTTATTTGGATTTGAGACATCTTGGAGAAACCTTGCTAGATCGAAATCCCCAACATGAGCTGTCATGTTATCGTCTAGAAGAACATTGCTCGACTTTAGATCGCAATGGAGGATTGGCTCATGGCAATGATGATGAAGATAATCTGTCGCAGATGCCACATCAATTGCAATGTTTAATCTCTAAAGAAGAGCAAGATTTTGAATTTCAGGTTGATCTTCTTTTGTTTTTAGTGTAGGATGCAACCACTTCTCAAGACTCGTATGTGGCATGTACTCATATACAAGAGCTTTAAAGTCATTGCCTTGAAAATCAATGCTTGAGCAAGAAGTTATGACTTTGACAAGATTTCTATGACGAATATTTCTCAATGCTTTACACTTTGCTAAGAAACTCGTGAAAGCTCCTTCATGTTGAAGATTAAGTACTTTAACTGCAACAATGGTTCCGTCTTAATTAAAGATTCCCTTATACACTGAATCAAAACTGGCCACACCAATCAGTTGTGTTGAAGAAAACCCATCAGTTGCTTTAAAAAGCTTTTCATAAGACAAATTCAAAAGTTCTCTTATCAACGTAGATTCAGATTCAGAAAGTTGTTTTCCTCTTCTCTTTTTGAGCCAACAAAAAATGAAAAATGATATCACGACCAAACTTGAAAAAGTGCTTATGGTTGAGATTAATATTTTGGACAGTTGATAGATCTTTTCCTTCTTTAACTCATTGTTGATGCATTCCGGGAGATGTAGTTCAACTGTACCCCCACAAAGTCGATTACTATTTCTGACTATTGATATTGCACTTGCATTTGCAAAAATTCCTTTCATTGGTACTTCTCCCTCTAAATTATTAAAAGATAGATTTAGATTTTCCAACAAAAGAGTTGCTAAAGAATTTTGGAATTTGATCAGACAAATTGTTACGAGAAAGATCAATGTCTCGAATACCTCTAAGAGAACTCAATGATGAAGGTATAAATCCTTGAAAGAAATTGCCCTCAATATAAAGATATTCAAGACTAGAACAAAGACTAAGTTGACTTGGAATTTCACGGATAAACTACTATCAGACACATCAAAAGTTGATAGAATTTTTCAGGTTACCGATGTTTGTAGGTATTGTTCCAATCAACTGGTTTCGGGCTAGATTAAGTGAAATTGATAGATATTTTATTTCAAAAATTTGTTTGGTTATGGTTCCACTAAGTTCATTTTGGGAAAGATCCAAAGATAATAATTGTTTCAAAAATTTTTAAAGGTTGCCATGGAGTGTTGTGCGGCTTCATACATTGCATAGGCAAAAGCATTGTGACATCATTGCTAATATAGATGTGACATAAAAATGGAAGATATGTGGTTAAATGAGCAAAAATAATCTCACAGTTAGTTTCTTCTTTTGTTAAAACCATCAAGAATTTGGAAGCCACTGCATACGCTACTGTGTGTGCCTTGGTAAAGATATCCTTATACCTCATCTGAAATGTAGACAAGAGCATCTTTCCAATTGTTCAATCACCAACCCTATACATGAACACAAGAGCAAGGTAAATAAAAACTCAGAGTGAATTTCATGTTGGGAAGTTGAAAAATGATTAGCGCAACTGCACAGTTCAAATCAATAGCTAGCCACTAAAACTGCTTATGAATTGCTTAGTGTTAATTAATTACAAGTATACCATCCATCCTACACAACTTTATATGACTCAACTATGCTCTTCCTGAGTTAGATGTAATGAAGAAGCATCATTATTTTAGAGATAAAGGAACAAGGAATTATCCACTAACTACATTGCTAGGCTGACACACTTGATACAAGCTTCCAACATTTAGGATAATAAAAACATGAACAGGTGATCTTGTTCATTTCTCTTTTCACTTTACTGTTTTCAGCATTAACTTTCCAATGAATCCTGTCTCTAAAATACATATTGATCTTCTGAGACAAGGAACTGACCACATCTTTTATTCCATCCCAAGACATGAAAATGCAAGTTTAGCGCTGTACCTTCAATATGCTTCACAGTTTCAATAAGATGCAGAAACTAGGAAAAACTAGAGACTAGTTCAAATTGTTTGTGCAATAAATAATCAGATCAACGTTGTTCTAAAAATGCAGTGAAACATAACATGGACAATATGTAATAACATCAAATCTTTAGGGCATTGCTTTCTTTTCCAAATTGACAAAGTGCCATCTAATGACATTAAGAAAACAACAAATATGATGATAGCAATTTACTATGTAAGGGACAAGAAGAATGGGAGAGATGCATTATAAAGAAAAATAACAGAAGACAAGGAAAAACTGTATGCATGTAAAGAAGCTAGAGAATAGCAGAAACTCACATTGGTGCTATCTTACAGCTCTTATAGCCAAATTCGTAGAAACATGGACACCTAGATCTCAGATCCACATTTGCAGCATCAGCCTGGATTTCTTGCCTTGTTCTGGTATTCAATTAAAGCAAAGAAGACTATAAAAGTAAATAAATATTCACATCTTCAGATTCTCATTCACATAAATAAATGTCATTTTTCATGCATTCATTTGAACATAGGAAAACTTTGCAAGAAATTGCGATCATAGAACTTGGTCAAAATTAACTACCTTATTCCAAAGGGGCTTTGGTCATTCGAAAAAGCAAAAGGGGAGGGAGGGGTCAAAGAAATACAATAAGAACAACAAACTCTAGAAGACTTTGACAAAATAATTTGACCTAGTTGGACTGGTAAACACAAGTAACCCACATATGCAACCAAACCAAAAAATATCATAAACGTAAAAAATTGTGTATCATAACATATTTACAAAATCTAATTGCTTTTTAATGACCAAAGGCCATTTCTTGCCAAAAAGTTTCTCAATCCATTCCACATCATTTACACATAAAGCAAAATCATGTTGAAAATTCTTATTGCAAGTCAGTTTTTAATGAATTTCTTAGTGTTATTACCATCTTTAGTTAGAAATAAGAATAATACTAGGAACTGCTACGGAATTACTTTTGGTCAAAACAAGCCGGAACATTTATTGATACAGCTTGCCTCAAATAGAACTCCTGAGCAAGCCAAAATGGTTGCTCTACCTTTGCACCTTCTTCAACCTGAGAACAACAACCAAAAAGAGAATATATTATGATACAGTCATTGAACATCAATTTCCACCAAACTCCAGTTAACTTACACAGTCTTTTTCAGCGCTGGGATCAACTTTCACTCCATTAGCTGACTTATGGAACACAACAGGGACAGCAAAAGAAAAAAAGAAAAATCAGTAAGCAATTTCAAAGTTGAATTAAAGACAACTGAAAGTATGAAGACCAAGATAATAATCTCTTCCTATGCAAGAATATCATCAATGTCATAATAATTTATGAGATATTATGAGACATTAAGCAGTTTCTCTTGATTTTTCCCTCACAATTTATGAGATATTTAATAGCTGGGAACAAAACATAAAAAATTTATTACAATAAATTGTGAATATAAATGAATTTTAGCTTAGAGAATGCTGGGGATCTGAACCTTTTATGTGATTCCATCAAAATGAACGAATCAGATTTCCCAGTTGCAAGAATATAAACACATTGACTAAAACATCCAAACCAAGATTAAAAAAAGAAAATGGTCTAGATCAAAGCTCGAAGCGAGAATTAGATCCAATTCCAACCTGGAACTCACTATTCCTCAGCAACAAGAAGAAATGTAAACTAAAATAAATTCTGGAAGATCTGAAACCCTAGAGTGAGCAAAATTTATAGCTAGAACAGATAGATATAGAAAATGAAGTTCAGAAAAGTAAAAAGTTGACGATGAATTGAGAATATGAATCAAAGATATAATATGAAATTGTAAGAAATTAAAATTACCTCAAATGTTCTCACAGAGTTTGCTTGTGTTTGTTTGGCTCTCAAGTCTCAAGTGAACGGAGAGGGAAAATATCAGATAAAATACAAAAAAATTTAGGGGCTTTTCTATAAATAACAAAGAAAAAGGGGTTTAATAAAATTACTCACCGATATATATACCAGTAGAAATCAATTCTCTTCGCTTTCGCCTTCTTTCTTTTCTCGTCCTCTCACCTCTCTCTAATTCTCTCCTCTCAAGTCTCAGATGTTTCAATGGAGTTATAATCTAACAAGCAACTTAAGAATTTTGTGATGTCTCCCCCACAATACGAAGTTTTTGACGTAAATTCATCATCCTTTCGCAAAGTTAAGAAGATTTAAGGCCTCCCTTAAACATAATTTATCTGGGCCTTTTCCTCGTTATCATCTCCAATAACAGGATTCAAAAACTGTAGACATCCCTGTTTGGTGACACCTCTAGACTTCCGAGACCATACTCCAATTTGCAAGAATAACATTAGAAAATACATGATCTTTTTGACAATTTATTGAGTATTCAAATTAGATAGAAAGCATTCTAACGTTCAAATGGTGACTGATAGATTGAAACTGTTTATTGCCTAATGACCTTTCTGCTAAAATGGGCCTTTTGGTGGGAATTGTCTTTGTCCTGTTCATTGTAATTTTTAAGTCACTCCATCCAAATGAAATAAGATATGTAGAAATCTTGAAACTCTTAAATCAAACATTCAAACTCAATAAAAGTGTCCAACAAACTTCCATCAAAGGGATTTAACTTTAAAATGAAAATAAAATACAAATAGGTTGATAAAATGGGGTGGCTTGGCAGATAATCACAGAAACTCCGTTCACTTTTCACCTAGCTCAAACTGATTGACCTCCTTGCCTGATGAGAATAGTTTTAGGCTGGAGAAGGATGTTCTTGACCTCTTGTAATTCATGAACAACATTGGTTATGTTCATTCGATCTTGTGCTATCTCCATTGAACATGCAACTCCGACCCTTATCATTGAGATGAGGCATTCCTTTCTTTTAATGTTTCTTTCTTGTACCAGTATACGATTAGTAGCAGTAACCTCTTGAACCTCATTTAGAAGTACTGGGTCGACAATGTCCATCACCCGGTCAGGCAAGGCCATTTTAGCAAAATTGTGAAGATTGAGGCCTCCCTCAAACATAAGGTCTGTGGGCCTTTTCTACCATCTCTAACAACAAGATCCCATAACTGTAGACATCCCCATTTGTTGACACCCCACTTCCAAGACCATACTCTGCAATTCACAATAATATTATATTAGGAAGTAAATGATCTTTGACAAGTAATTAACTGTTCAAATTATCCAATCTTGTGGTTACCCGGGGCTGCATAGCCTATTGTTCCTCTTACGCCAATAGAGCTGCTTTGATTTGGATTTGAGACTTCTGAGAGAAACTTTGCTAGACCAAAATCTCCAACATGAGCTGTCATGTCGTCGTCTAGAAGAACATTGCTAGGCTTCAAATCGCAATGGAGGATTGGTTCATGGCAACAATAATGGAGATAATCTATTGCAGATGCCACATCAATTGCAATGTTTATTCTCTGAAGAAGGGTAAGATTCTGAATTTCATGTTGCTTTTCTTCGGTTTTTGGACCTGGGTGAAACCACTTGTCAAGACTTCCATTTGGCATGTACTTGTAAACAATAGCTTTAAAGTCATTGCCCTGAAAATCACTACTTGAGCAAGAAGTTATGACTTTTACAAGATTCCTGTGACGGATATTTCTCAACGCTTTACACTCTGCCATGAAACTCTTGGAAGCTCCTGGACGTTGAAGATTTAGTACTTTGATTGCAGCAATGGTTCCATCTTCATCAAGGATACCCTTAAACACAGAGCCGAAACTTCCCGCACCAATCAAGTTTGTTGAACAAAACCCATCACTCGCTTTGCGTAGCCTATCATATGATACATTCAGAAGTGGTTTTATCAACCTAGATCCATAATCAGAAGGTTGTTTTCCTCTTCTCTTTCTGAGCCAACAAAAAATGAATAATGACATCACGGTTAGTCCTGAAAGGCCACTTGCAATTGAGATCAATATTTTGGTTCGCGGAGAGATCCTCTCTTTCTTTGCATTCTTGCTAGTGCATTTGAGCCAATGTAGTTCAACTATTCCTCCACAAAGTCTACCACTATTTCCGACAAGTGATATAGCACTTGCATTTGCAAAAACACCTTTCGATGGCACTTCACCCTCAAAATTATTGAAGGACAGGTTTAGATTCTCCAAAGGGAGAGTCTCTAAGAATTTTGGAATTTGACCAGACAAATTGTTGAGAGAAAGATCAATGATTCGAATACCTCTTAGAGAACTCAATGATGCAGGTATAAATCCTTGGAAAGCATTGCCATCCATTACAAGATATTCTAGACTAGAACAAAGACTAAGTTGACTAGGAATTTCACCTGACAAATTATTATTAGACACATCAAAATTGGATAGAAGTTTAAGGTTACCGATGTTTGGAGGTATGGATCCAATCAATTGGTTTATGGATAGATCTAGTGAAATTGACAGAGACGTTATTTCAAAAACTTGCTTGGGTATGGTTCCACTAAGGCCATTTTGGGAAAGATCCAAATCTGTTAATTGTTTCAATTTTCCTAGACTAGAAGGGATGATTCCTGATAATTTGTTATCTAACAACCACAACTTACTGATTTTGGACAGGTTCCAAAAGAAGAAGGAATTTCACTGAAGAGTTTGTTGCTAGACAGATCTAAAAATACAAGGTTCTGGAGCTTACCTAACTCTTCGGGAATTGTGCCTGAAAAGTTGTTAAAAGGCATGCACAACAAAGTCAAGTTAAGAAGGCCGCCTATCCCTGATGGGATTGTTCCATACAATTTATTCCCACCAACAAATAAACGTTGCAGTTTAGTACTAGAAAGGTTACCTATTGAATGGGGCAAGGGTCCTCTGAATTGGTTTTCAGCTATGGAGAACGTCCTCAAATTGCTGCAGTTGGCCAAAGAGTCGATAAAACTCATCTCATCACCTTCCCTACTTCCTAAATTATTATTGTTCAAACTTAGCCATTGAAGGTGTTGCATGTCTCCAAAATCAACGGAAAGTTTTCTTGAAAATTCATTATCTTCCATCTCAATATGTTGGAGTTTTGAAGCATTAGATAAAGATACTGGAACAGATCCACCAAATGAGTTATTTGAGGTTTGAAAAACTTGGAGACGAGGAAGAGTAAGGCCTAAATATGGTGGAAGACTTCCCTCAAGTTGATTCTCAGACAAAGAAAAATTAACAAGGGAGGAGAGATTGTATATAGGAGGAGGGACAACACCAGATAGGTTGTTTCTACCAATTGCAAGAGTTGTTAATTTTTTGAGTTGACCCAATGAATCTGGAATATTTCCTCCCAAAAGATTTGAAGCCATAGATATCCACTCCAGGGAGGTAAGATTCCCAAGAAATGGTGGGATGCCTCCTGTCAAACTGTTATAGCTCAGCTGTATGAATTTGAGGTCGAACAAGGAGACAAACTCCAGTGGAATTTTCCCAACTAGCTTGTTATGTCCTAAAAATAAAAATTTTAGCCTAGAACAATGGGACAAGTTGGCTGGAATTTCTCCCACCAAGGAGTCATTTTGAAGCTGTAAATCTTCTAACCTGAATAGACAGCCAACTTCAGGAGGGATTTCACCTTCGATACTGTTGTTTGCGAGATCGAACTTCCGTAGGAAGCTGAGGTTGCCAATGTATGGTGACAAGGACCCGATGAAACCTCTAGAACGTAGGCTTAGGATGGTGACTCTTTTATGCCTGCGACCACAGGTAATCCCCTCCCACTCGCAGAAGTGGCGAGAATCATTCCACGAGTTTAGAACCCCTTGAGGATCATGAATAATCTTTTACTTGAACGCTTGCAACGAAACACGATCTGTCTCCTGTTGACAATTTTGAATGAGTTTTATGCCTGTGTGATAGTTGTTGGAACCGAATTTGATGTATCCAACACAGAAAGCTGGATCTGTGAGCTAAGGTTCAATGTGATAATGTTACATGTTTGCGCACATTATATAATGGTGAAGAAATTTGACTATTGTTATATAATTATATTTTTTATAATTTTTTAAATTCTTTCTTACAACAATCTCATGAAATAAGATTTTACTCTTAACATACCCAAAAAAGATCAAAATCAGTTGAATTTTTGTTAACCTTTTTTTATTTATTTTTTAAAAGAGATGTGTGGGCCTCTTGCACTTGGTGTGCTACGCACAAGAAATTAGTCAACGCATATTTTTTTCTTTCCTCAAGTTAAAGCGGAGTCAAGTCTCTTACCATGTTAGTTAGTTAAGGTAGAAAAGGTATCCAGAACCATGATTTTCATGTAAAGAAATGGTGAACGTGATCCGCAATTATTCTCGTTTTCATTTATTTTCCAAAGGTGTAAATTATCTTCCACCATGAACCAAAGAAAGTTGCAACAACTTTTTCCAAGAAATTTCCAATGAACATGAATTAAAAATTAAAAATGAGATGCCAGCCTGCTTCACCTAGCTTTGTCGCTTTATATATGGCGAGTTTGTGAAACTTTAATGCCTATTCAATGGCATTGATTACAGCAAATTTGGACTTTAAACAAGGAGTTGACTCGTGTTACATAACTGTGATAAAGATTTCTTTGTTGGTGAAGAAATTTGGTGTATTGGGCTATTTCATTACAATTTTGTCACAAAATGACCTGATATTAAACAATCAAGAATCCAAAAACCCCGCTTTCTTAACCTTGGAATATTTTCACAACAAATTCTAGTTATGTGTTTTGAATTGAGTTTTATTAAAGTTGGAGCTTATGACAAGTGAATTAACAATGATAGATAACAATGTGTTTTTCAGATTTTTTTTTTCCTTAATCTCATGAAATATGATTTTTACCATACCTTAAGAACATCAAAATCAGTTGAATTTTTGTTAGCCTACACTTATTATTATTATTTTTATAAGAGATGTGTAAATTTTTCTTCTTGTTTTTGATCTGAGAATAGCTTATTAAATTTTTATTTATTTCATCAACTTGAGGGCTAACAGTTCTCTGCCTCATGTTATGGCTTCATTTCAATTTTTTTTTTTTTTTTTTTTTCCCGGTTCTATGCTCCTGCTTTGGCTTCAAGATTATATTTTCTTAATAGCCCTGCAATTCGTGAAAAGAATTAAGAGCGTAAACTTAATTTAAAGAATATTGCCAAATTACAGGACAATTTACGTAATTATCAGCAAGTGAAGTTATTTAAATCTTTGGAATCTTACCTCCTTGCCTTAGGTTCTAGAAGGATGTTCCTGGCTGATAGCAATTCATGGACAACATCCGTTATGTTCATTGTGGTGACTCCATCCAACATCCGACTCCAATCCTTACCATAAAATTAAGACATTCTTTTCTGCTGTTGATATTTGTTTCTCTCTTGCTACGGTTTGTAGAAAGACAACTCTTTATCATCTTTTAGAAAAAATGGATCCACAATGCCCATCAAGCGGTCAGGCAAAAGTTATGAAAATTAAAGCCTCCCTCAAACATAAGGCCTGTAGGTATTTTCCATGTTACCATCTTTAACAACAGGAAGACTTATTATCTGCATTGAAATATTATCTGCATTGAAATATGCATGCATAGAAATTTTTTAGAAGCATAAACTCACAATGGTGCTATCTTACAGCCAAATTCAGAGAAATATGGACACCGAGATCTCAGATCCACATTTGCAGCATCAGCTTGGATTTCCCTCCTTGTTCTGGTATTCAAATGAAACAAAGAAGAATAGTAAATAAATATTTACATCTTCAGATTCACATTCACCACATAAATAAATACGTTATTCTTCATGCATTACATAGGACAACTTTGCAAGAAATCACGACCATAGAACTTGGTTAAAACCACCTAATTCCTGAGGAGGTTTGGCCACTAAGGGTTGGGAGGGATCAAAGAAATACAATAAGAACAACATCAAATTTTTGAAGACTGACAAAATAATATGACCTAGCTGGACTGGTAAATGCAAATAACCCACATATGAAAGCAAGACCAAGAAATATCATACACGGAAAAATCGTGTATTAGAACATAATATAACACAAAAGCTGGTTGCTCGTTGATGACCATAGGCCACTACCAAAAAGTTTCTCCACCCATTCTACATCATTCACACATAAAGCAAAAAAAAAAAGCAATTCTTCTTTCAAGTCAGTTTTTAATGAATTCCTTAGTATTACTACCTTTACACAGAAAAAGGAATAACACTAGAAACTACTATGGCAATTAATTTTGGTTGAAACAAGCCGGAACATTTATTGATACAGCTTGCCTCAAATATAACTCCTGAGCAAGCCAGAATGGTAGCTCCACCTTGGCACCTTCTTCAACTTGAGAATAACCACCAAAAACAAAATATATTATAATAGTCATTGAACATCAATTTTCACCAGACTCCAGTTAACTTACAGAGTCTTTTTTAGCCCTGGGATCAACTTTCACTCCATTAGCTGATTTATGGAATAAAACAGGGACGAGCTGAAATCAAGCAAAAGGAAAAAAGAGAAATCATTAGCAATTTCAAAGTTGAATTAAAGACTATTGATGGTATGAAGACATGGGATCTGAACCGTACATGTATTTCCATCAAAATAAACGAATCAGATTTTGCAATTGCAAAATATAAACACATTGAGTGAAACATCCAACCCAAGATCTAAGCTCTAAGCGAGAATTAGATCCAATTCCTACCTGGAACTCACTATTTCGAAGCAACAACAAGAAATGCAAACTAAAATAAATTCTAAAAGATATGAAACCCTAGAGTGAGCAAAATTTATAGCTAGAACAGATAGGTATAGAAAATGAAATTCAGAAAAGTAAAAAGTTGACGATGAACTTTTAAGAAATTAAAATTACCTCAAATGTTCTCACAGAGCTTGCTTGTGTTTGTTTGGCTCTCATTCTCTCAAGTCTCAAGTGAATGGTGAGGGCAAATTTCAGATAAAATACAAAAAATCTTAATTTAGGGGCTTTTTATAAATAAAAAAGAACAGGGGGTTTAACAAAATTACTCACCGATATATATACCAGTAGAAATCAATTCTCTTCGCTTCCGCCTTCTTTCTTTTCTCGTCCTCTCATCTCTCTCTAATTCTCTCCTCTCAAGTCTCAGATGTTTCAATGGAGTTCTAATCTAACAAGCAACTTAAGAATTTTGTGATGTCTCCCGCACAATACGAAGTTTTTGGCGTAAATTCTTCATCTTTTTCGCAAAGTTATGAGGATTAAGGCCTCCCTTAAACATAATTTCTCTGGCCTTTTCCTCGTTATCATCTCCAATAACAGGATTCAAAAACTGTAGACATCCCTGTTTGTTGACACCTCTAGACTTCCGAGACCATACTCCAATTTGCAAGAATAACATTAGAAAATACATGATCTTTTTGACAAGTTATTGAGTATTCAAATTAGATAGAAAACATTCTAACGTTCAAATGGTGACTGACAGATTGAAACTGTTTATTGCCTAATGACCTTTCTGCTAAACTTGGCGTTTTGGTGGGAATTGTCTTTGTCCTGTTTATTGTAATTTTTAGGTCACTCCATCCAAATGAAATAAGATATGTAGAAATCTTGAAACTCTTAAATCAAACATTCAAACTCAATAAAAGTGTCCAACAAACTTCCATCAAAGGGATTTAACTTTAAAATGAAAATAAAATACAAATAGGTTGATAAAATGTGGGTGGCCTGGCAGATAATCACAGAAACTCCGTTCACTTTTCACCTCGCTCAAACTGATTGACCTCCTTGCCTGATGAGAACAGTTCTAGGCTGGAGAAGGATGTTCTTGACCTCTTGTAATTCATGAACAACATTGGTTATGTTCATTCGACCTTGTGGTATCTCCATTGAACATGCCACTCCGACCCTCACCATTGAGATGAGGCATTCCTTTCTTTTAATGTTTCTTTCTTGTACCAGTATACGATTAGTAGCAATAACCTCTTCAACCTCATTTAGAAGTACTGGATCGACAATGTCCATCACCCGGTCAGGCAAGGCCATTTTAGCAAAATTGTGAAGATTGAGGCCTCCCTCAAACATAAGGTCTGTGGGCCTTTTCCTTGTTACCATCTCTAACAACAAGATCCCATAACTGTAGACATCCCCATCTGTCGACACCTCACTTCCAAGACCATACTCTGCAATTCACAATAATATTATATTAGGAAGTATATGATCTTTGACAAGTAATTAATTGTTCAAATTATCCAATCTTGTGGTTACCTGGGGCTGCATAGCCTATTGTTCCTCTTACGCCAACAGAGCTGCTTTGGTTTGGATTTGAGACTTCTGGGAGAAACTTTGCTAGACCGAAATCCCCAACATGAGCTGTCATGTCGTCATCTAGAAGAACATTGCTAGGCTTCAAATCGCAATGGAGGATTGGCTCATGGCAACGATAATGGAGATAATCTATTGCAGATGCCACATTAATTGCAATGTTTATTCTCTGAAGAAGGTTAAAATTCTGAATTTCAGGTTGCTCTTCTTCTGTTTCTGGACCTGGGTGTAACCACTTGTCAAGACTTCCATTTGGCATGTACTCGTAAACAAGAGCTTTAAAGTCATTGCCCTGAAAATCAATACTTGAGCAAGAAGTGATGACTTTTACAAGATTCCTATGACGGATATTTCTCAACGCTTTACACTCTGCCATGAAACTCTTGGAAGCTCCTCGACGCTGAAGATTTAGTACTTTGATTGCAACAATAGTTCCCCGTTGGATCTGTGTCGTAACGCGTCGATCTGGCTGAAAAAGGCTAGATCTAGCCGTCGACGCAGTAGATGGAGTTTTGCAGCCTCGACGGCCAGATCTAGACTTTTCCGGCCAGATCCGTGGGTGATTGGCCGGAAAAGGCCAAATCTACTGCTAGATCTGGCCATCGTGGCCGCAAAACTCCATCTACGGCGTCGACGGCCAGATTTGGCCGTAGATCTGTCCTTTTCTGGCCATATCAGCTGCGAATCTGGCCGGAAAAGGCCAGATCGGCGCGTTATGACACAGATCCGATGGGGTCTGTGTCGTAACGCAATTTCCGACTAGATTCCGGCTGTGGTGGCCGGAATCTTGCCGCAGCTGGTGGGGGTGTTTTTGTCATTTAACAAACTTTTTATATATGGGAGTGTTTAGTTAAATTAGCAAACCTAGGGGGTTTTTTAGAAATTTTTAAAAAACTAAAATATCAAACTTCAAGGGCATTTTAGTCTTTTCACTGTTAACAAACAGAAATCACTAACAGCACATGACGGAAGGTACCTATTTATCGTTTTAAAATCTTTTGGGTACCAACTTGTTGTTTTGGCAAACCTTGGGTATGCACAAGTCGTTTGGCCCACTTTCTTTCGACACAAATATATTTGATTTTTTTTTTTTTTTTTTTTTTGTAACCTTACAATCTCAAATATTTCAAATAAGCCACAAATGTGGTAGGTGACTCTAAGGTGGTTTGAACCCAAGAATTCATTTAAGAAAACAACTTTCTTGACCACCAAACTAATCCTTTAAGGTTATAAATTGTTCTTCTTTACTTTTTATTTCTACTAAATCTTTGGCGACCTCATCGTTGCCTTTTTTTTTTTTTTTTTGCCTTGGATAAATTTAAGTATCCATTTTTTTTTTTTTGGTAAAACTTAAATTATGCAATCATTTAGTTATTTTTTTTCTCTTTTTTGTTTTGGGTGTTCTCCTGAGTATTAAAAAAAAAGAGAGTTTAACTGGCAAGTCTAATCAAGAGTTAAATTGAATCTCTTGAAGCAACCCTAAAACATGAACTATTAATGGAATACCCATTGTGATTTTATTTTATTGTTTGATTCCATCTTTCATTTAGGGTTTAACAAAGAAAGAGATTTTTAATATATAGGTATACTAAAAGAATAAATGCCCTTATGGTAATCAACAATTTAAAGAATATATATATTTAAAAAAATTATTATTGGGACTTAGAAAGAAGATTGGTAAGGCTTAAATAACACAACTCATGTAATACCAGAACTTTTATCCACGGCAAAAAGTAAAAAATATGATAAGCATATATAGAAGCACAATTCAATAAAATATCCACTTTAATGGAGAAACATATTACGTTTAACAAGGATCAATTGTTGTATTCTCAGCTTTTAGTTCAATCAAAGTGCAGTTTTGATGAGGATATTAATAGCATAGCCCTGCTATTAGTAAAAGGAATAGGCTAAAAATAATATAAATGAAAAAGCAAAACCTCCATGATCATTATAGCTCATTGTCAAGAAGAAAGGTAGTTTCTTAAATATATTCATTCAATCTTGTGGTGACTCCATTGAACATGCCACTCCAGTCCTTGCAATGGAAATGAGACATCCCTTTCTGATGTTGTTTACTGTTTCTTTCAGCCTATGGTTAGTAGCAATCGTCTCTTCATCAACATTTAAAAGTACTGGATCCACAATGTGCATCAACCGGTTAGACATGATTACCGTTGGCCTCAAATATAATATCTGTGGGTCTTTTCCTCGTTATCATCTACAATAACGGGATTCTAAGACTGTAGACATCCCTATTTGTTGACACCTCATGATGAGACCATACTCCAATTCACAAGAACAACATTAGAAAATACATGATCTTTTTGACAAGTAATTAATTGTTCATATTAGATAGAAAGCATACTAATGTTCAAATGGTGACTGATTGATTACAACTGTTTATTGCCTAGTAACTCTTTTGCTAATGTAATATCCCACTTGAGGTACGTATTTACGATTTGCTGTATTAGTTAAAAGTTTACTGTTTCAGCTTCAATTGAGTTTGTATGTTGAGTTGGTTGAATGGTTGCCTTGAAATTGGTTAAGTTTTGGTGAAGTTTGGAAATCCAATCTTCGCCGGGGCGAAGAAGAAGCTTCGCTGCGACGAGGAGGAGCTGCACTCACGGGTAGGTTCTGCCCTGTTTCGCAGGGGCGACGGAAAGTGCTTCGCCACTGCGACGAGCCTAATAAAAAAGTTTCATGAGTTTTCTAGAGAATTCTTCTTTTGGGGCACAATGACCATTCTACCCCTAATTAGTAGGAAAAGTGGGGAGTAAAATGTAAGGAAATTTAGTAGAGATTGTGTTTGGATGGGGGTGTATTTGTAAAGAATCAAAGGATATAGATGGAATTTTAGCAAAAGTGTAAGGGCAAAATGGGAAAGGATGTTTATAATATGAGCTAAAAAGAGTTAAAGTGTAGAGAAACCCTTATTCATCCATTCCACCGCCTCTCCCATTTGCCTACTTTCTTCCAATTTCTCCATCCAATCTTTCAAGATTTCTAAGGGAATTAAGAGAGCTTTTGAGTAGAGATTTAGAGATTGAGTAGAGAGGTATGCTTGTACAAGTATGTTATGTTGTTGAGAATTGAGTTAAGATGAATATGTATTATGAGAAGTGTTTTTGATATGTGATGAGAAATGGAATTTGAGATGAAGTTTGAGAGATGTTGTGTGAACCTATTTGGAAGTGCTTTTCTTGACAGAGATTATGAGTATTTGAGGGAGTTTTTCCCCATTTTGGATGGATGAGAAATGGAATTTGAGATGAAGTTTGAGAGATGTTGTGTGAACCTATTTGAAAGTGCTTTTCTTGACAGGGATTATGAGTATTTGAGGGAGTTTTTCCCCATTTTGGATGGCTAGAGAATGAAGTATAGTAGTAATTATAGTAGAGTGTTTATATGCACATGAGTTATTTGATGAAATGCCTAAGTGAAATCTGCCCTGTCACTGCCGTGACTTTCTAAGTAATTTTTGGGCATCTTATGGATTGAACTGGGCTGAGACCAAAACATAAAAGTTGTAGCCCTATTTCTAAGCTTTAAAATGAGACTGAAACCGTAGCAATACGAGGTGTATAACGCAAGTTATGGCCTTTTTAGTGTGACTTGTGCAGAATTACTGTTTTGAGGAAATCTTGTATTTGGCATTTCATTAGTGCATTAGTGAGCATGAGCTATCTATACACATTTGTTTACACACTTAAGAAGTAGCTTGAGACTTAGTAAAGAATTTGAGTATAAGCTACTTTAAGGGTAAAGAGAAAGAGAGATTGAGCATTAGAGAACAAAGAGAAAAGAGCATAGAGTAGGTTGTGCGATGGGGAACCCGTGAGTAATGGGTAGAGTATTCCCGCATGTATGCCGCATTGAGAGAGCGGCATGAGTATGAGATAGAGAAGTGGTGTAGCCCGTGAGAGTGCATGCGGATGAGGGCTATATCCGAGTACCCGAGAGAGAGATTATACACTCACATGGCCAAGGGTTCCGAATCCATGCATAACCGAGTCCGATCGGCTAGAATGAGTAGAGGTCACATAGAGTAGGAGCGAGTCCCGGCCGTGCCCCCAGTAAGATGGGGCTGTGACTTACTAAAGAGAGTTACTAGAAAAGAGTTCTAAGAGAAAGAGATAGAGAGAGAGAAGTACTAAAGAGAAATTGAATGAGAAGTTGTAAGGAAAGAATTAGAGAGAGAGAGTTACAGGGATAGATGAGTAGATGATTTATTTACTGAGCCTTATTTTAGTGCTCACCCCGTTATTTCCTATATTTTGCAGGATCTAGGTGAGGACACTGTCGGATGGATGTCGGCGCTCGAGGAGAAGCGGTTTCACTGTCCATTATGTTTTTGATGACTTTTGTACACATTATAATTTTGTGTAAAAATATATATGTTGGTAAAGAATATATATATATATATATTTAATAAAAAAAATTTGGGCCCAATTTCTTTATATTATTTTATATGTATTTTATTATGAGTATTTGAGTAGAAAGTGGCTATTACAGCTAAACTAGGCGTTTTGGTTTGAATTGTCTTTATCATTTTTATTGTAATTTTATTTTACTCCATCCAAGTGAAATAAGATCTGAAGAAACGTTAGAAATTCTTAAATCAAATATCCAAACTTAATAAAAAGTATCCAACAAACTTTCATCAAAGAGATTTAACTTTAAAATGAAAATGAAATAAATATAAGTTGATCAAAAGCACAATTCATCCTTGTAAGAATCAGAATCAGAATCAGATATGCCACGGAAGATTAAAAAGCATAATTCATCAGAATCAGCTACTCAGGCAATCAGCGTAAGATGAAAAAATATCTTCCGACCAAAATATATATAATCTCATCACTTAAACAATAACATAAACTGTTTAAGGTCATAGTCATCACATACAACTAATCAACTCTGCCAATCACCTAGCTGGAATATATTAGGCCCACTGACGTGAAGATCAATGCTCCACTCAAGCATCATTTTTAATTCCCAAATAAAAAAATAAATTCTAAATAACATATTTATTTAAAAAAAAAAAAAGTGTTATTTTGAAGCCTCGTAGACAAGGGCTTCAAAATTTTATAAATAACAGTATCTAGCTATTGACAAATTACTAAACCATCACAAACAGCAGTCGGCTTTCCTTCTTTCTTTACTACTTCTGCAAAATATAAACTAATATTATCAATGGACAAGGTCAAAGAAACCTATAAATTCTTAAAATCTAAACTCAAGTACTACTTTCTATGTTACATCACGCATGTATGAAACCTCCGGGCATCACACTTACACTTACAAAGTAGACTCGCATGGTGTACAACAGATTATAATTAGGTTAGGAAAAGCACCTACTCAATTGGTTTCCTCTTCCCCCAAGAACTGAGGCGCTCTGAAATCTGAGGCCACCTATCCGCCACTTTTTAAAGGTTGCCATGGAGTGTTGTGCGGCTTCATACACTACACAGGCAAAAGCATTTTGACATCATTGCTAATAAAGATGTGACATGAAAATGGAAGATATGTGGTTAAATGAGCAAAAATAATCTCACAGTTAGTGTCTTCTTTTGTTAAAACCATCAAGAATTTGGAAGCCACTGCATAAGCCATGGTGTGTGCCTTGGTAAAGTCTTTATACCTCATCCGAAATGTAGACAGGAGCATCTTTCCAATTGTTCGATCACCAATCCTATGCATGAAAACAAGAGCCAAGTAAATAAAAACTCAAGAGTGAATTTCATGTTGGGAAGTTGAAAAATGATTAGTGCAACTGCACAGTTCAAAGCAATAGCTAGCAACTAAAACTGCTTATGAATTGCTTAGTGTTAATTAATTACAGGTATACCGTCCATCCTACACAACTTTATATGTGTTAACTGTGCCCTTCCTGAATTAGATGTAATGAAAAAGCATCATTATGTTTAGAGATAAATGAACAAAGAAGTATCCACTAACCATATTACTAGGCTGATGCACTTGATACAAGCCACCAACATTTAGGATAATAAAAACATGAACATGTGATCCTGTTCATTTCTCTTTTCACTCTACTGTTTTCAACATTAACTTTCCGATGAATCCTATCTCTAACATACATATTGATCTTCTGAGACAAGGAACTGACCACATCCTTTATTCCATCCCAAGTCATGAAAATGCAAGTTTAGCTCTATACCTTCAATATGTTTCACAGTTTCAATAAGATACAGAAATTAGGAAAAACTAGAGACCAGTTCAAATTTTTTATGCAATAAATAACCAGATCAACTTTGTTCTAAAAAAGCGGTGAAACATAACATGGAAAATTTGTAATAACATCAAATCTTTAGCGCACTGCTTTCTTTTCCAAATTGACAAAGTGTCGTCTAATGACATTATGAAAACAACACCTATGAAGATAGCAATTTACTATATAAGGGACAAGAAGAATGGGAGAGATGCATTATAAAGAAAGCTATCAGAAGGCAAGAAAAACTGTACGCATGTGAAGAAGCTAGTGAGTAGCAGAAACTCACATTGGTGCTATCTTACAGCCAAATTTGTACAAATATGGACACCTAGATCTCAGATCCACATTTGCAGCATCAGTCTGGATTTCCCGCCTTGTTCTGGTATTCAATTAAAACAAAGAAGACTAGAAAAGTAAATAAATATTCACATCTTCAGATTCTCATTCACATAAATAAATATGTCATTCTTCATGCATTCATTTGAATGTAGGACAACTTTGCAAGAAATTGCGATCATAGTACTTGGTTAAAACCACCTAATTCCAGAGGGGGTTTGGTCACTCGAAAAAGCAAAAGGGGAGGGAAGGATCAAAGAAATACAATTAGAACAACAAACTCTTTCTAGACTTTTGACAAAATAATTTGACCTAGTTGGACTGGTGAACAAAAGTAACCCACATTTTAGAATACAAAATCTGATTACTTTTTAATGACCAAGGGCACATTCTACACCATTCACACATAAAGCAAAATCATGTTGAAAATTCTTCTTGCAAGTCAGTTTTTAATGATTTTCTTAGTGTTATTACCATCTTTAATTAGAAATAAGAATAACACTAGAAACGAATTACTTTTGGTTGAAACAAGCTGGAACAATTATTGATACAGCTTGCCTCAAACATAACTCCTGAGCAAGCCAAAATGGCTGCTCTACCTTCGCACCTTCTTCAACCTGAAAACAACCACCAAAAACAGAATATATTATGATACAGTCATTGAACATCAATTTCCACCAAACTCCAGTAAACTTGCACAGTCTCCAGCACTGGGATCAACTTTCACTCCATTAGCTGACTTATGGAACACAACAGGGACGAGCTGAAATCTAAGCAAAAGAAAAAAAGAAAAATCATTAAGCAATTTCAAAGTTGAATTGAAGACAACTGCCAGTATGAAGACCAAGACAATAATCTCTTCCTATACAAGAATATCATCAATGTCATAATAATTTATGAGATATTATGAGACATTAAGCAGTTTCTCTTGATTTTTCCTTCACAATTTATGAGACATTTAACAGCTGGGGAACAAAATATAAAAAATTAATTATAATAAATTCTGAATATAAATGAATTCCAGTGTAGAGAATGCAGGGGATCTGAACCATTTATGTCCATCAAAATGAACGAATCAGATTTCCCAATCGCAAGAATATAAACACATTGACTAAAACATCCAAACCAAGATTAAAAGAAGAAAATATCTAAGCTCTAAGCGAGAATTAGATCCAATTCCAACCTGAAACTCACAATTCCTCAGCAACAAGAAGAAATGTAAACTAAAATAAATTCAAAAAGATCTGAAACCCTAGAGTGAGCAAAATTTATAGCTAGAACAGACTGATATAGAAAATGAAATTCGGAAAAGTAAAAAGTTGACGACGAACTTTTAAGAAATTAAAATTACCTCAAATGTTCTCACAGAGCTTGCTTGTGTTTTGTTATACCTGGGAAAATAAAGGGCTGACGTGGGAAAGTCACGTTAAGGGTGACCTGCTCCCGTCAGGGCAACACGCACACGTCAGACCTGCAAAATAATATGGAGCTCACACGCGTCCATTCCTCTGCAGCAAGTCGTGCGAAGTCAGCTTGGAAAAAGGAAAATGGGACGTAAAGCCGGATTATATCCTGACAATCACACCAACCCATGGATTTAATGATGATTACACGCTTCAATTTGGTATAAAATGAAGAAGACCCCTCCATTAAGGGGATTCGGCCATTCTTTACAGAAAACAACTCTCTCTCTCTTGTAAAAGAAAACACTTACTTTTCATAACTCTTATGTACGTCAGTCCGCTTCGCGACCTGACCCACACTAATATCAATACAAATCAGTGGACGTAGGATTTGCTACCTTAGCATCCGAACCACTTTAAAAGTCTTCTTTGCATTTATTTCACTTCATATATCCATTATCACGTGTATTAATTCATCAAATAGTGATACCCATGTGACAATTGGTTGGTGCCGAAAACCAGCATCAACATGTTTGTTTGGCTCTCATTCTCTCAAATCTCAAGTGAATGGCGAGGGAAAATTTCAGATAAAATACAAAAAATCTTAATTTAGGGGCTTTTGTATAAATAAAAAAGAACAAGGGATCCATATACCGGTAGAAATCAATTCTCTTCGCTTCCGCCTTCTTTCTTTTCTCGTCCTTTCACCTCTCCGTAATTCTTTCCTCCCAAGTCTCAGATGTTTCAATGGAGTTATAATCTAACAAGCAACTTAAGAATTTTGTGATGTCTCCCGCACAATACGAAGTTTTTGACGTAAACTCTTCATCTTTGCGCAAAGTAACATAATTTCTCCGGCCTTTTCCTCATTATCATCTCCAATAGCAGGATTCAAAAACTGTAGACATCCCTGTTTGTTGTCATCTCTAGACTTCCGAGACCATACTTCAATTTGCAAGAATAACATTAGAAAATTCATGATCTTTTTGACAAGTAATTGAGTATTCAAATTAGATAGAAAACATTCTAATGTTCAAATGGTGACTGACAGATTGAAACTGTTTATTTCCTACGGATCTTTCTGCTAAACTGGGCCTTTTCGTGGGAATTGTTTATTGTAATTTTTAAGTCACTCCATCCGAATGAAATAAGATACGTAGAAATCTTGAAACTCTTAAATCCAACATTCAAACTCAATAAAAGTGTCCAAGAAACTTTCATCAAAGGGATTTAACTTTAAAATGAAAATAAAATACAAATAGGTTGATAAAATGTGGGTGGCCTGGCAGATAATCACAGAAACTCCATTCACTTTTCACCTCGCTCAAACTGATTGACCTCCTTGCCTGATGAGAACAGTTCTAGGCTGGAGAAGGATGTTCTTGACCTCTTGTAATTCATGAACAACATTGCTTATGTTCATTCGATCTTGTGGTATCTCCATTGAACATGCTACTCCGACCCTTACCATTGAGATGAGACATTCCTTTCTTTTAATGTTTCTTTCTTGTACCAGTATATGATTAGTAGCAGTAACCTCTTCAACCTCATTTAGAAGTACTGGATTGACAATGTCCAACACCCGGTCAGGCAAGGCCATTTTAGCAAAATTGTGAAGATTGAGGCCTTCCTCAAACATAAGGTCTGTGGGCCTTTTCCTTGTTACCATCTCTAACAACAAGATCCCATAACTGTAGACATCCCCATTTGTCGACACCTCACTTCAAAGACCATACTCTGCAATTCACAATAATATTATATTAGAAAGTATATAATCTTTTACACGTAATTAACTGTTCAAATTATCCAATCTTGTCGTTACCTGGGGCTGCATAGCCTATTGTTCCTCTTACGCCAACAAAGCTGCTTTGATTTGGATTTGAAACTTCTGGGAGAAACCTTGCTAGACCGAAATCTCCAACATGAGCTGTCATGTCATCATCTAGAAGAACATTGCTGGGCTTTAAATCACAATGGAGGATTGGCTCATGGCAACGATAATGGAGATAATCTATTGCAGATGCCACATCAATTGTAATGTTTATTCTCTTAAGAAGGGTAAGATTCTGAATTTCAGGTTGCTCATCTTCTGTTTCTAGAGCTGGGTGCAGCCACTTGTCAAGACTCCCATTTGGCATGTTTCTAGAGCTGGGTGCAGCCACTTGTCAAGACTCCCATTTGGCATGTACTCATAAACAATAGCTTTAAAGTCATTACCTTGAAAATCAATACTTGAGCAAGAAGTTATGACTTTTAAAAGATTCCTGTGACGGATATTTGTCAACGCTTTACACTCTGCCATGAAACTCTTGGAAGCTCCTCGACGTTGAAGATTTAGTACTTTGATTGCAACAATAGTTCCATCTTCATCAAGGATACCCTTGAACACAGAGCCGAAACTTCCCGCACCAATTAAGTTTGTTGAAGAAAACCCATCGGTCGCTCTGAATAGCCTTTCATACGATACATTCAAAAGTTCTTTTATCAACCTGGATCCAGATTCAGAAGGTTGTTTCACGCTTCTCTTTCTGAGCCAACCAAAAATGAATATTGACATCACGGTTAGTCCTGAAAGGCCACTTGCAATTGAGATCAATATTTTGGTTCGCGGAGAGATCCTTTCTTTCTTTGCATTCTTGCTAGTGCATTTGAGCAAATGTAATTCATCTATTCCTCCACAAAGTCTACCACTATTTCCGACAAGTGATATTAAACTTGCATTTGCAAAAACTCCTTTTGATGGCACTTCACCCTCAAAATTATTGAATCCAAAGGGAGAGTCTCTAAGAATTTTGGAATTTGACCAGACAAATTATTGAGAGAAAGATCAATGATTCGAATACCTCTTAGAGAACTCAATGATGTAGGTATAAATCCTTGGAAAGCATTGCCATCCATTGAAAGTGATTCTAGACTAAAACAAAGACTAAGTTGACTCGGAATTTCACCTGACAAATTATTATCAGACACCAAAATTGGATAGATGTTTCAGGTTATGGATGTTTGGAGGTATGTGTCCAATCAATTGGTTTTGGGATAGATCTAGTGAAATTTTATTTCAAAAACTTGCTTTGGTATGGTTCCACTAAGGTCATTTTGGGAAAGATCCAACTCTGTTAACTATTCCTAGACTAGAAGGGATGATTCCTGATAATTTGTTATCTAACAACCATAACTTAATGATTTTGGACAGGTTCCCAAAAGAAGAAGGAATTTCACTGGAGAGTTTGTTGCTGGACAGATCTAAAAATACAAGGTTCTGGAGCTTACCTAATTCTTCGGGAATTGTGCCTGAAAAGTTGTTAAAAGGCATACACAACAAAGTCGAGTTAAGAAGGCCACCTAGCCCTGATGGGATTGTTCCATACAATTTATTCCCACCAACGAATAAACGTTGCAGTTTAGTACTAGAAAGGTTACCTATTGAATGGGGCAAGGGTCCTTTGAATTGGTTTTCAGCTATGGAGAACGTCCTCAAATTGCTGCAGTTGGCCAAAGAGTCGATAAAACTCATCTCATCACCTTCCCCACTTCCTAAATTATTATTGTTCAAACTTAGCCATTGAAGGTGTTGCATGTCTCCAAAATCAACGGAAAATTTTCCTGAAAATTTATTTCTTTCCAGCTCAATATGTTGGAGTTCTGAAGCATTGGATAAAGATACCGGAATAGATCCACGAAATGAGTTGTTTGATATCTGAAAAAATTGGAGACGAGGAAGAGTAAGGCCCAAATTTGGTGGAAGACTTCCCTCAAGTTGATTCTGAGACAAAGAAAAATTAACAAGGGAGGAGAGATTGTATATAGAAGGAGGGACAACACCAAATAGGTTGTTTCCACCAATTAGAAGACTTGTTAAATTTTTTAGTTGACCCAATGTATTTGGAATATTTCCTTCAAAAGCATTTGAAGCCATAGATATCTTTTCCAGGGAGGTAAGATTCCCAAGAAATGGTGGGACACCTCCTGTCAAACTGTTAACATGCAGAGCTATGACTTTGAGGTTGAACAAGGAGACAAACTCTGGTGGAATTTCCCAACTAGCTTGTTATATCCTAAATGTAACAATGTAAGCCTGGAACAACGGGACAAGTTGGCTGGAATTTCTCTCACCAAGGAGTTATTTTGAAGTATTAAATCCTCTAATCTGAACAGGCGGCCAATTTGGAACTGACAAAAGTGGTAACTTGCATAAGCATGATGCAAAAAAGTAAAACAGAGCGAAAGCAAAGTGAGTGACTTATCATTGTGTTCATTTCTGAGAGTGAGATGTGAGCTTACTTCACCTTGTCGCTTTATATATGGTGAGTTTGTGAAACTCTAACGCCTATTCAGTGGCATTAATTATTAAAAATCTGGACTTAAAACAGGGAATTGACTAGTGTTACATAACTTTACTAAAATTTCCTTGCCGTGCATATAATGGTGAAGAAATTTGGTGTACTGGTCTATTTCGATATAATTTTGTCACCAAATGACAATGTCTTTTTCAGATTTTGTTTTCCTTCTTTGACAATTTTGAATGAGTTTTATGTCCTGTGTGATAGTTGTTGGAACCGAGTTTGATGTATCCAACACAAAAAGCTGGATATGTGAGCTAAGGTTCAATCTGATAATGTTATATGTTTGCGCACATTATATAATGGTGAAGAAATTTGACTATCGTTACATAATTATACTTTTTTATAATTTTTTAAATTCTTTCTTTCTTACAACGATCTCATGAAATATGATTTTTACTCTTAATATACCCAAGAAAGATCAAAGTCAGTTGAATTTTTGTTAACCTTTATTTATTTATTTTTTAAATGAGATGTGTGGGCCTCTTGCACTTGGTGTGCTACACACAAGAAATTAGTCATGCATATTTTTTCTTTCCTCAAGTTAACAATAATAATCAAATCTTAACTATGAAACAATATTTTCTACGTAGAGACGAGTGAGTTTTCTGTTTTTCTCTTACGTATATGAATGAAATATTTGTTATGTCCTTATATGGGTTAACGTCTATTAGAATCTATAGAGTCTATCTTAATTGATTAAACGATAATATCTTGTTAATACTATACCCAAACCTAAGGGGTAACTGCAATTAACGCATTTCATATTTCGCGGTCTTTTAAGGGGTTAGAATAATAATCCCTCCCACTTTTGACTTGATTGCAAGAGCAATGAAGTTATTATAATTTAAGTGCAGAAAATATGATTAGAAAATAGAAGATATGGTGATCTTGATGAATATCTACCAATCACTCAAATCAAATGGAATCAAAGTTGAAAGGTTGGCATTCATAACTCATAAACTAATAATATTAGTGTCAATAGGAATAAATTCAACATGGTTACATGTCTCATTGATTTTTAATCACATTTCACTTGAGAAATCGAAATTAGATATTTTTATGTATATAAAATTGAGAAATTAAAACAGAATACTCAATAAATAAGGATAAATGATATGAAATAAAATAATGATTTTGTTCAAATAAGAAATGGTGAGTGAATCGATTGGAAAATACAAAAATCAATCGGCCAAAACAACGACATATTGTTGTTGATTGGTGGACCAAACAGGGTAGAGGTGAGATGAATTTTGATCAGGAGGCTCATAGGAATGTTTTCGTGGTGATGGGGAGTGTTGTCATCACTAGAAATAGACCATATTTAGCCTGGGTTGTCAACGCCGGAAAGGGTGTTTTGGGTGATTTTGCAATATTTTAAATCTGTAGAGGCTTATATGTAATTTTTAAGGGTATTTTTGTTGAATTTCAAACCTTTGGACACCGGTTTGACCCACTAGTCAAACCAGTTCAACTGATCAACCTAAGACCCGGCCACTTTATTGGGTTTCATCCCAGGCTGGTTATTAAAACTAGTGTGTTCAAAACTGGTTAACCAATTTTGTGAACTAAATTGGTTTTTAGGTTCAAGAATTTTCCTAAACTAAAACTTAACCAATTTAGCCAAAAAACCGGTTTTAATTTAATATTTAATATATTTTTTTAATTTAATATTTTTATAATAAACCATATTTCTTATATTTTTATAATAAATCAATTAGTAAAACCGATTTCAGTTAACTGGTTTCCAACAATAAGTTTCCCCGTTGATCTGTGCGTAACGCGGTCGATCTGGCTGAAAAAGGCAGATCTAGCCGTCGACGCAGTAGATGGAGTTTTGCAGCCTCGACGGCCAGATCTAGACTTTTCCCGGCCAGATCCGTGGGTGATTTGCGGAAAGGCCAAATCTACTGCTAGATCTGGCCATCGTGGCCGCAAAACTCCATCTACGGCGTCGACGGCCAGATTTGGCCGTAATCTGTCCTTTTCTGGCCATATCAGCTGCGAATCGTCGGAAAAGGCCAGATCGGCGCGTTATGACACAGATCCGATGGGGTCTGTGTCTGTAACGCAATTTCCGACTAGATTCCGGCTGTGGTGGCCGGAATCTTGCCGCAGCTGGTGGGGGTGTTTTTTGTCATTTACAAACTTTTTATATAGGGAGTGTTTAGTTAATTAGCAAACCTGGGGGTTTTTTAGAAATTTTTAAAAAACTAAAATATCAAACTTCAAGGGCATTTTAGTCTTTTCACTGTTACAAACAGAAATCACTAACAGCACATGACGGAAGGTACCTATTTATCGTTTAAAAATCTTTTGGGTACCAACTGTTGTGTTTGGCAAACCTTGGGTATGCACAAGTCGTTTGGCCCACTTTCTTTCGACACAAATATATTTGATTTTTTTTTTTTTTTTTTTTTTTGTAACCTTACAATCTCAAATATTTCAAATAAGCCCCAAATGTGGTAGGTGACTCTAAGTGGTTTGAACCCAAGATTCATTTAGAAAACAACTTTCTTGACCACCAAACTAATCCTTTAAGGTTATAAATTGTTCTTCTTTACTTTTTATTTCTACTAAATCTTTGGCGACCTCATCGTTGCCTTTTTTTTTTTTTTTTTTTTTTTTGCCTTGGATAAATTTAAGTATCCATTTTTTTTTTTTTGGTAAAACTTAAATTATGCAATCATTTAGTTATTTTTTTTCTCTTTTTTTGTTTTGGGTGTTCTCCTGATGTATTAAAAAAAGAGAGTTTAACTGCCAAGTCTAATCAAGAGTTAAATTGAATCTCTTGAAGCAACCCTAAAACATGAACTATTAATGGAACCCATTGTGATTTTATTTATTGTTTGATTCCATCTTTCATTTAGGGTTTAAAAAAGAAGAGTTTTTTAATATATAGGTATACTAAAAGAATAAATGCCCTTATGGTAATCAACAATTTAAAGAATATATATATTTAAAAAAATTATTATTGGGACTTAGAAAGAAGATTGGTAAGGCTTAAAACACAACTCATGTAATACCAGAACTTTTATCCACGGCAAAAAGTTAAAAAATATGATAAGCATATATAGAAGCACAATTCAATAAAATCCACTTTAATGGAGAAACTATTACGTTTAACAAGATCATGTGTATTCTCAGCTTTTAGTTCAATCAAAGTGCAGTTTTGATGAGGATTTAATGCATAGCCCTTATGTAAAAGGAATAGGCTAAAAAATATAAATGAAAAAGCAAAACCTCCATGATCATTATAGCTCATTGTCAGAAGAAAGGTAGTTTCTTAAATATATTCATTCAATCTTGTGGTGACCCATTGAACATGCCACTCCAGTCCTTGCAATGGAAGACATCCCTTTCTGTTGTTGTTTACTGTTTCTTTCTTTCAGCCTATGGTTAGTAGCAATCGTCTCTTCATCAACATTTAAAAGTACTGGTCCACAATGTCATCAACCGTTAGACATGATTACCGTTGGCCTCAAATATAATACTGTGTGGTCTTTTCCTCGTTATCATCTACAATAACGGGATTCTAAGACTGTAGACATCCCTATTTGTTGACACCTCATGATGAGACCATACTCCAATTCACAAACAACATTAGAAAATACATGATCTTTTTGACAAGTAATTATTGTTCATATTAGATAGAAAGCATACTAATGTTCAATGGGACTGATTGATTACAACTGTTTATTCCTATAACTCTTTTGCTAATGTATATCCCACTTGAGGTACTTATTTACGATTTGCTGTATTAGTTAAAAGTTTACTGTTTCAGCTTCAATTGATTTTGTATGTTGAGTTGGTTGAATGGTTGCCTTGAAATTGGTTAAGTTTTGGTGAAGTTTGGAAATCCAATCTTCGCCGGGGCGAAGAAAGCTTCGCTGCGAGGAGAGCTGCACTCACGGGTAGTTTCTGCCCTGTTTCGCAGGGGCGACGGAAAGTGCTTCGCCACTGCGCACGAGCCTAAAAAAAAGTTTCATGAGTTTTCTAGAGAATTCTTCTTTTGGGCACAATGACCATTCTACCCCTAATTATAGGAAAAGTGGGGAGTAAAATGTAAGGAAATTTAGTAGAGATTGTGTTTGGATGGGGGTGTATTTGTAAAGAATCAAAGGATATAGAGGGAATTTTAGCAAAAGTGTAAGGGCAAAATGGGAAAGGATGTTTATAATATGAGCTAAAAAGAGTTAAAGTGTAAGAAACCCTTATCACATTCCACCGCCTCTCCCATTTGCCTACTTTCTTCCAATTTCTCCATCCAATCTTTCAAGATTTCTAAGGGAATTAAGAGAGCTTTTGAGTAGAGATTTCATCTAAGCACCTAAGGTAAGGATTCATGCTTTAGATGTGAGTTTTCTTATAGTTATAGTGAAGTCTTATTTGGTTGTTATTGTTCTTGTTGTTGTTTTGAGTTGTAGAGAGTAGACAAGACCACAAAGGAAAGGAAAAGTGCTAAAGAAGTCACCTTTTCACAAGTAAGTATATTCAACCAACTGTAGTTTTGATAAGTTTTTGAGTAAGATTTAGAGATTGTAGAGAGGTATGCTTGTACAAGTATGTTATGTTGTTGAGAATTGAGTTAAGATGAATATGTATTATGAGAAGTGTTTTTGATATGTGATGAGAAATGGAATTTGAGATGAATTTTGAGAGATGTTGTGTGAACCTATTTGGAAGTGCTTTCCTTGACAGAGATTATGAGTATTTGAGGGAGTTTTTCCCCATTTTGGATGATGAGAAATGGAATTTGAGATGAAGTTTGAGAGATGTTGTGTGAACCTATTTGAAAGTGCTTTTTTGACAGGGATTATGATATTTTGAGGGAGTTTTTCCCCATTTTGGATGGCTAGAGAATGAAGTATAGTAGTATTATAGTAGATTGTTTATATGCACATGAGTTATTTGATGAAATGCCTAAGTGAAATCTGCCCTGTCCCTGCCGTGACTTTCTAAGTATTTTTTGGCATCTTATGGATTGAACTGGGCTGAGACCAAAACATAAAAGTTGTAGCCCTATTTCTAAGCTTTAAAATGAACTGAAACCGTAGCAATACGAGGTGTATAACGCAAGTTATGGCCTTTTTAGTGTGACTTGTGCAGAATTACTGTTTTGAGGAAATCTTGTATTTGGCATTTCATTAGTGCATTAGGGAGCATGAGCTATCTATACACTTTGTTTACACACTTAAGAAGTAGCTGTGAGACTTAGTAAAGAATTTGAGTATAAGCTACTTTAAGGGTAAAGAGAAGAGAGATTGAGCATTAGAGAACAAGAGAAAAGAGCATAGAGTAGGTTTGTCGATGGGGAACCCGTGAGTAATGGGTAGATGTATCCCGCATGTATGCCGCATTGAGAGAGCGGCATGAGTATGAGATAGAGAATGGTGTAGCCCGTGAGAGTGCATGCGGATGAGGCTATATCCGAGTACCCGAGAGAGAGATTATACACTCACATGGCCAAGGTTCCGATCCATGCATAACCGAGTCCGATCGGCTAGAATGAGTAGAGGTCACATAGTAGGAGCGAGTCCCGGCCGTGCCCCCAGTAAGATGGGGCGGTGACTTACTAAGAGAGTTACTAGAAAAGATTCTAAGAGAAAGAGATAGAGAGAGAGAAGTACTAAAGAGAAATTGAATGAAAGTTGTAAGAAAGATTAGAGAGAGAGAGTTACAGGGATAGATGAGTAGATGATTTATTTACTGAGCCTTATTTTAGTGCTCACCCCCGTTATTTCCTATATTTTGCAGGATCTAGGTGAGACACTGTCGGATGGTGCGGCGCTCGAGGAGAACGGTTTCACTGTCCATTATGTTTTTGATGACTTTTGTACACATTATAATTTTGTGTAAAAATATATATGTTGGTAAGATATATATTATATATATTTAATAAAAAAAATTGGGCCCAATTTCTTTATATTATTTATATGTATTTTATTATGAGTATTTGAGTAGAAAGTGGCTATTACAGCTAAACTAGCTTTTTGGTTTGAATTGTCTTTACATTTTTATTGTAATTTTATTTTACTCCATCCAAGTGAAATAGATCTGAAGAAACGTTAGAAATTCTTAATCAAATATCCAAACTTAATAAAAAGTATCCAACAAACTTTCATCAAAGAGATTTAACTTTAAAATGAAATGAAATAAATATAAGTTGATCAAAAGCAAATTCATCCTGTAAAATCAGAATCAGAATCAGATATGCCACGGAAGATTAAAAGCATAATTCATCAGAATCAGCTACTCAGGCAATCAGCGTAAGATGAAAAAATATCTTCCGACCAAAATATATATAATCTACACTTAAACAATAACATAAACTGTTTGGTCATATCATCACATACAACTAATCAACTCTGCCAATCACCTAGCTGGAATATTAGGCCCACTGACGTGAAGATCAATGCTCCACTCAAGCATCATTTTTAATTCCCAATAAAAAATAAATTCAATACATATTTATTTAAAAAAAAAAAAGTGTTATTTTGAAGCCTCGTAGACAAGGGCTTCAAATTTTATAATAACAGTATCTAGCATGACAAATTACTAAACCATCACAACAGCAGTCGGCTTTCTCTTCTTTCTATACTTCTGCAAAATATAAACTAATATTATCAATGGACAAGGTCAAAGAAACCTATAAATTCTTAAAATCTAAACTCAAGTACTACTTCTATGTTACATCACGCATGTATGAAACCTCCGGCATCACACTTACACTTACAAAGTAGACTCGCATGGTGTACAACAGATTATAATTAGGTTAGGAAAGCACCTCCTCAATTGGTTTCCTCTTCCCCCAAGAACTGAGGCGCTCTGAAATCTGAGGCCACCTATCCGCCACTTTTTAAAGTTTGCCATGGAGTTTGTCGCTTCATACACTACACGCAAAAGCATTTTGACACCATTGCTAATAAAGATGTGACATAAAAGGGAAATATGTGGTTAAATGAGCAAAAATAATCTCACAGTTAGTGTCTTCTTTTGTTAAAACCATCAAGATTTGGAGCCACTGCATAAGCCATGGTGTGTGCCTTGGTAAAGTCTTTTAACCTCATCCGAAATGTAGACAGGAGCATCTTTCCAATTGTTCGATCACCAATCCTATCATGAAACAAGAGCCAAGTAAATAAAAACTCAAGAGTGAATTTCATGTTGGGAAGTTGAAAAATGATTAGTGCAACTGCACAGTTCAAAGCAATAGCTAGCAACTAAAACTGCTTATGATTTGCTTATTGTTAATTAATTAGGGTATACCGTCCATCCTACACAACTTTAATATGTTTTAACTGTGCCTTCCTGAATTAGATGTAATGAAAAAGCATCATTATTGTTAGATAAATGAACAAAGAAGTATCCCTAACCATATACTAGGCTATGCACTTGATACAAGCCACCAACATTTAGGATAATAAAAACATGAACTGTGATCCTGTTCTTTCTCTTTTCACTCTACTGTTCAACATTAACTTTCCGATGAATCCTATCTCTAACATACATATTGTCTTCTGAGACAAGGAACGACCACATCCTTTATTCCATCCCAAGTCATGAAAATGCAAGTTTAGCTCTATACCTTCAATATGTTTCACAGTTTCAATAAGATACAGAAATTAGGAAACTAGAGACCAGTTCAAATTTTATGCAAATATAACCGATCAACTTTGTTCTAAAAAAGCGGTGAAACATACATGAAAATTTGTAATAACATCAAATCTTTAGCGCACTGCTTTCTTTTCCAAATTGACAAAGTGTCGTCTAATGACATTATGAAAACAACACCTATGAAGATAGCAATTTCTATATAAGGACAAGAAGAATGGAGAGATGCATTATAAAGAAGCTATCAGAAGGCAAGAAAAACTGTACGCATGTGAAGAAGCTAGTGAGTAGCAGAAACTCACATTGGTGCTATCTTACAGCCAAATTTGTACAAATAGGACACCTAGATCTCAGATCCACATTTGCAGCATCAGTCTGGATTTCCCGCCTTGTTCTGGTATTCAATTAAAACAAAGAAGACTAGAAAGTAAATAAAATTCACATCTTCAGATCTCATTCACATAAATAATATGTCATTCTTCATGCATTCATTTGAATGTAGACACCTTTGCAAGAATTGCGATCATAGTACTTGGTTAAAACCACCTAATTCCGAGGGGGTTTGGTCACTCGAAAGCAAAAGGGGAGGGAAGATCAAAGAAATACATTAGCAACACAACTCTTTCTGACTTTTGACAAAATAATTTGACCTAGTTGGACTGGTGAACAAAAGTAACCCACATTTTAGAATACAAAATCTGATTACTTTTTAATGACCAAGGGCACATTCTACACCATTCACACATAAGCAAAATCATGTTGAAAATTCTTCTTGCAAGTCAGTTTTTAATGATTTTCTTAGTGTTTTATACCATCTTTAATTAGAAATAAGAATAACTAGAAACAATTACTTTTGGTTGAAACAAGCTGGAACAATTATTGATAACAGCTTGCCTCAAACATAACTCCTGACAAGCCAAAATGGCTGCTCTACCTTCGCACCTTCTTCAACCTGAAAACAACCACCAAAACAGAATAATTATGATACAGTCATTGAACATCAATTTCCACCAACTCCAGTAAACTTGCACAGTCTCCAGCACTGGGATAAACTTTCACTCCATTAGCTGACTTATGGAACACAACAGGGACGAGCTGAAATCTAAGCAAAAGAAAAAAAAAAACATTAAGCAATTTCAAAGTTGAATTGAAGACAACTGCCAGTATGAAGACCAAGACATAATCTCTTCCTATACAAGAATATCATCATGTCATAATAATTTATGAGATATTATGAACATTAGAGCAGTTTCTCTTGATTTTTCCTTCACAATTTATGAGACATTTAACAGCTGGAACAATATAAAAAATTAATTATAATAAATTCTGAATATATGAATTCCAGTGTAGAGAATGCAGGGGATCTGAACCTTTATGTCCATCAAAATGAACGAATCAGATTTCCCATCGCAAGAATATAAACACATTGACTAAAACATCCAAACCAAGATAAAAGAAAAAATATCTAAGCTCTAAGCGAGAATTAGATCCAATTCCAACCTGAAACTCACAATTCCTCAGCAACAAGAAGAAATGTAAACTAAAATAAATTCAAAAGATCTGAAACCCTAGAGTGAGCAAAATTTATAGCTAGAACAGCTGATATAGAAATGAAATTCGGAAAAGTAAAAAGTTGACGACGACTTTTAAGAAATTAAAATTACCTCAAATGTTCTCACAGAGCTTGCTTGTGTTTGTTATACCTGGGAAAATAAAGGGCTGACGTGGGAAAGTCACGTTAAGGGTGACCTGCTCCCGTCAGGGCAACACGCCCACTCAACCTGAAAATAATATGGAGCTCACACGCGTCCATTCCTCTGCGCAGCAGTCGTGCGAAGTCAGCTTGGAAAAGGAAAATGGGACGTAAAGCCGGATTATATCCGACAATCACACCAACCCATGGATTAATGGATTACACGCTTCAATTTGTATAAAATGAAGAAGACCCCTCCATTAAGGGGATTCGGCCATTCTTTACAGAAAAGAACTCTCTCTCTCTTGTAAAAGAAACACTACTTTTCATAACTCTTATGTACGTCAGTCCTGCTTCGGACCTGACCCCCGCCAATATCAATACAATCATGGAACGTAGGATTTGCTACCTTAGCATCCGAACCACTTTAAAGTCTTCTTTGCATTTATTTCACTTCATATATCCATTATCACCGTGTATTAATTCATCAAATAGTGATACCCATGTGACAATTGGTTGGTGCCGAAACCAGCATCAACATGTTTGTTTGGCTCTCATTCTCTCAAATCTCAAGTGAATGGCGAGGGAAATTTCAGATAAAATACAAAAAATCTTAATTTAGGGGCTTTTGTATAATAAAGAAAAGGGATCCTATACCGGTAGAAATCAATTCTCTTCGCTTCCGCCGCCTTCTTTCTTTCTCGTCCTTTCCCTCTCCGTAATTCTTTCCTCCCAAGTCTCAATGTTTTCAATGGAGTTATAATCTAACAAGCAACTTAAGAATTTTGTGATGTCCCCGCACAATACGAAGTTTTTGACGTAAACTCTTCATCTTTGCGCAAAGTAACATAATTTTCCGGCCTTTTCCTCATTATCATCTCCAATAGCGATTCAAAAACTGTAGACATCCCTGTTTGTTGTCATCTCTAGACTTCCGAGACCATACTCAATGCAAGAATAACATTAAAAATTCATGATCTTTTGACAAGTAATTGAGTATTCAAATTAGATAGAAAACTTCTAATGTTCAATGGTGACTGACAGATTGAAACTGTTTTATTTCCTACGATCTTTCTGCTAAACTGGGCCTTTTCGGGGAATTGTTTATTGTAATTTTTAAGTCACTCCATCCGAATGAATAGATACGTAGAAATCTTGAAACTCTTAAATCCAACATTCAAACTCAATAAATGTCCAAGAAACTTTCATCAAAGGATTTAACTTTAAAATGAAAATAAAATACAAATAGGTTGATAAAATGTGGGTGGCCTGGCAGATAATCACAGAAACTCCATTCCTTTTCACTCGCTCAAACTATTGACCTCCTCCTGATGACGAATTCTAGCTGGAGAAGGATGTTCTTGCCTCTTGTAATTCATGAACAACATTGCTTATTTTCATTCGATCTTGTGGTATCTCCATTGAACATGCTACTACTCCGACCCTTACCATTGAGATGAGACATTCCTTTCTTTTAATGTTTCTTTCTTGTACCAGTATATGATTAGTAGCAGTAACCTCTTCAACCTCATTAGAAGTACTGGATTGACAATGTCCAACCCCTTCAGGCAAGGCCATTTTAGCAAAATTGTGAAGATTGAGGCCTTCCTCAAACATAAGGTCTGTGGCCTTTTCCTTGTTACCATCTCTAACAACAAGATCCCATAACTGTAAATCCCCATTTGTCGCACCTCACTTCAAAGCCCATACCTGCAATTCACAATAATATTATATTAGAAAGTATATATCTTTACACGTAATTAACTTTTCAAATTCCATCTTATCTGTCGTTACCTGGGGCTGCATAGCCTATTGTTCCTCTTACGCCAACAAAGCTGCTTTGATTTGGATTTGAAACTTCTGGGAGAACCTTGCTAGACCGAAATCCCCAACATGAGCTGTCATGTCTCATCTAGAAGAACATTGCTGGGCTTTAAATCACAATGGAGGATTGGCTCATGGCAACGATAAGGAGATAATCTTTGCATGCCACATCAATTGTAATGTTTATTCTCTTAAAGGGTAAGATTCTGAATTTCAGGTTGCTCATCTTCTGTTTCTAGAGCTGGGTGCAGCCACTGTCAAACTCCCATTTGGCATGTTTCTAGAGCTGGGTGCAGCCACTTGCAAGACCCCATTTGGCATGTACTCATAAACAATAGCTTTAAAGTCATTACCTTGAAATCAATACTTGAGCAAGAAGTTATGACTTTTAAAAGATTCCTGTGACGGATATTTTTCAACGCTTTACACTCTGCCATGAAACTCTTGGAAGCTCCTCGACGTTGAAGATTTAGTACTTTGTTGCAACAATAGTTCCATCTTCATCAAGGATACCCTTGACAACAGCCAAACTTCCCGCACCATTAGTTTGTTGAAGAAAACCCATCGGTCGCTCTGAATACCTTTCATATCGATACATTCAAAGTTCTTTTATCAACCTGGATCCAGATTCAGAAGGTTGTTTCACCGCTTCTCTTTCTGAGCCAACCAAATGAATATTGACATCACGTTAGTCCTGAAAGGCCACTTGCAATTGAGATCAATATTTTGGTTCGCGGAGAGATCCTTTCTTTCTTTGCATTCTTGCTAGTGCATTGAGCAAATGTAATTCATCTATTCCTCCACAAAGTCTACCACTATTTCCGACATGATTTAACTTGCTTTTGCAAAAACCTTTTGATGGCACTTCACCCTCAAAATTATTGAATCCAAAGGGAGTCTCTAAAATTTGGGAATTTGACCAGACAAATTATGAGAGAAAGATCAATGATTCGAATACCCTTAGAGAACTCAATGATTAGGTATAAATCCTTGGAAAGCTGCCATCCATTGAATGATTCATACTAAAACAAAGACTAAGTTGACTCGGAATTTCACCTGACAAATTATTATCAGACACCAAAATTGGATAGATGTTTCAGGTTATGTGTTTGGAGGTATGTGTCCATCAATTGTTTTTGGATAGATCTAGTGAATTTTATTTCAAAAACTTGCTTTGGTATGGTTCCCTAAGGTCATTTGGGAAAGATCCAACTCTGTTAACTATTCCTAGACTAAAGGATGATTCCTGATAATTTGTTATCTAACAACCATAACTTAATGATTTGGACAGGTTCCCAAAAGAAGAAGGAATTTCACTGAGAGTTTGTGCTGACAGATCTAAAATTCAAGGTTCTGGAGCTTACCTAATTCTTCGGGAATTGTGCCTGAAAAGTTGTTAAAAGGCATACACAAAAAGTCGAGTTAAGAAGGCACCTAGCCCTGATGGGATTGTTCCATACAATTTATTCCCACCAACGAATAAACGTTGCAGTTTAGTACTAGAAAGGTTACCATTGAAGGGGCAGGGTCCTTTGAATTGGTTTTCAGCTATGGAGCAGTCCTCAAATTGCTGCAGTTGGCCAAAGAGTCGATAAAACCATCTCATCACCTTCCCCACTTCCTAAATTATTATTGTTCAACTTAGCCATTGAAGGTTTTGCATGTCTCCAAATCAACGAAAATTTTCCTGAAAATTTATTTCTTTCCCGCTCCTGGACGAGCTGAAATCAAGCAAAAGGAAAAAAGAGAAATCATTAGCAATTTCAAAGTTGAATTAAAGACTATTGATGGTATGAAGACATGGGATCTGAACCGTACATGTATTTCCATCAAAATAAGCGAATCAGATTTTGCAATTGCAAAATATAAACACATTGAGTGAAACATCCAACCCAAGATCTAAGCTCTAAGCGAGAATTAGATCCAATTCCAACCTGGAACTCACTATTCCGAAGCAACAACAAGAAAAGCAAACTAAAATAAATTCTAAAAGATATGAAACCGTAGAGTGAGCAAAATTTATAACTAGAACAGATGGATACAGAAAATGAAATTCAGAAAAGTAAAAAGTTGGCGATGAACTTTTAAGAAATTAAAATTACCTCAAATGTTCTCACAGAGCTTGCTTGTGTTTGTTTGGCTCTCATTCTCTCAAGTCTCAAGTGAATGGCGAGGGCAAATTTCAGATAAAATACAAAAAATCTTAATTTAGGGGCTTTTGTATAAATAAAAAAGAAAAGGGGGTTTAATAAAATTACTCACCGATATGTATACCAGTAGAAATCAATTCTCTCCTCTCATCTCTCTCTAATTCTCTCCTCTCAAGTCTCAGAAGTTTCAATGGAGTTCTAATCTAACAAGCAGCTTAAGAATTTTGTGATGTCTCCCGCACAATACGAAGTTTTTGACGTAAATTCTTCATCTTTTCGCAAAGTTATGAAGATTAAGGCCTCCCTTAAAAATAATTTCTCTGGCCTTTTCCTCGTTATCATCTCCAATAACAGGATTCAAAAACTGTAGACATCCCTGTTTGTTGACACCTCTAGACTTCCAAGACCATAGTCCAATTTGCAAGAATAACATTAGAAAATACATGATCTTTTTGACAATTTATTGGGTATTCAAATTAGATAGAAAACATTCTAACGTTCAAATGGTGATTGACAGATTGAAACTGTTTATTGCCTAATGACCTTTCAGCTAAACTTGGCGTTTTGGTGGGAATTGCCTTTGTCCTGTTTATTGCAATTTTTAAGTCACTCCATCCAAATGAAATAAGATATGTAGAAATCTTGAAATTCTTAAATCAAACATTCAAACTCAATAAAAGTATCCAACAAACTCCCATAAAAGGGATTTAACTTTTAAAAACAAATAAAATACAAATAGGTTGATAAAATGTGGGTGGCCTGGCAGATAATCACAGAAACTCCGTTCACTTTTCACCTCGCTCAAACTGATTGACCTCCTTGCCTGATGAGAACAGTTCTAGGCCGGAGAAGGATGTTCTTGACCTCTTGTAATTCATGAACAACATTGGTTATGTTCATTCGACCTTGTGGTATCTCCATTGAACATGCCACTCCGACCCTCACCATTGAGATGAGGCATTCCTTTCTTTTAATGTTTCTTTCTTGTACCAGTATACGATTAGTAGCAGCAACCTCTTCAACCTCATTTAGAAGTACTGGATCGACAATGTCCATCACCCAGTCAGGCAAGGCCATTTTAGCAAAATTGTGAAGATTGAGGCCTCCCTCAAACATAAGGTCTGTGGGCCTTTTCCTTGTTACCATCTCTAACAACAAGATCCCATAACTGTAGACATCCCCATCTGTCGACACCTCACTTCCAAGACCATACTCTGCAATTCACAATAATATTATATTAGGAAGTATATGATCTTTGACAAGTAATTAATTGTTCAAATTATCCAATCTTGTGGTTACCTGGGGCTGCATAGCCTATTGTTCCTCTTACGCCAACAGAGCTGCTTTGGTTTGGATTTGAGACTTCTGGGAGAAACTTTGCTAGACCGAAATCCCCAACATGAGCTGTCATGTCGTCATCTAGAAGAACATTGCTAGGCTTCAAATCGCAATGGAGGATTGGCTCATGGCAACGATAATGGAGATAATCTATTGCAGATGCCACATCAATTGCAATGTTTATTCTCTGAAGAAGGGTAAGATTCTGAATTTCAGGTTGCTCTTCTTCTGTTTCTGGACCTGGGTGTAACCACTTGTCAAGACTTCCATTTGGCATGTACTCGTAAACAATAGCTTTAAAGTCATTGCCCTGAAAATCAATACTTGAGCAAGAAGTTATGACTTTTACAAGATTCCTATGACGGATATTTCTCAACGCTCTACACTCTGCCATGAAACTCTTGGAAGCTCCTCGACGTTGAAGATTTAGTACTTTGATTGCAACAATAGTTCCCCCTTCGTCAAGGATACCCTTAAACACAGAGCCGAAACTTCCCACACCAATCAAGTTTGTTGAAGAAAACCCATCGGTCGCTTTGAGTAGCCTATCATATGATACATTCAGAAGTGCTTTTATCAACCTGGATCCAGAATCGGAAGGTTGTTTTCCTCTTCTCTGTCTGAGCCAACAAAAAATGAATAATGACATCATGGTTAGTCCTGAAAGGACACTTGCAATTGAGATCAATATTTTGGTTCGTGGAGAGATCCTCTCTTTCTTTGCGTTCTTGCTTGTGCATTTGAGCAAATGTAATTCAGCTATTCCTCCACAAAGTCTACCACTATTTCCGACAAGTGATATTGCACTTGCATTTGCAAAAACTCCTTTTGATGGCACTTCACCCTCAAAATTATTGAAGGACAAGTTTAAATTCTCCAAAGTGAGAGTCTCTAAGAATTTTGGGATTTGGCCAGACAAATTGTTGCGAGAAAGATCAATGATTCGAATACCTCTTAGAGAACTCAATGATGTGGGTATAAATCCTTGGAAAGCATTGCCATCCATTAAAAGTGATTCTAGACTAGAACAAAGACTAAGTTGACTCGGAATTTTACCTAACAAATTATTGTCAGACACATCAAAACTAGATAGAAGTTTCAGGTTACCGATGTTTGGAGGTATGTGTCCAATCAATTTGTTTTGGGATAGATCTAGTGAAATTGATAGATATGTTATTTCAAAAACTTGTTTGGGTATGGTTCCACTAAGGTCATTTCGGGAAAGAAGCAAAATTTTCAATTGTTTCAAATTTCCTAGACTACTAGGTATGACTCCTGATAATTTGTTATATGACAACCATAACCCATTGATTTCCGACAGGTTCCCCAAAGAAGAAGGAATTTCGCCGGAGAGTTTGTTGATTAACAGATCTAAATATTTAAGGTTCTGGAGCTTGCCTAATTCTTCGGGAATTGTGCCCGAAAATTTGTTAAAAGGCATACTCAACCAAGCTAAGTTAAGAAGGTCGCCTATCCCTGATGGGATTGTTCCATACAAATTATTCCCACCAACAAATAAAAGTTGCAGTTTAGTACTAGAAAGGTTAGCTATTGAATGCGGCAAGGTTCCTCTGAATTGGTTTTGACTTATGTCGAGCGACCTCAAATTGCTGCAGTTGGCCAAAGAGTCGATAAAACTCATCTGATCACCTTCCCCACTTGCTAAATTATTAAATCCGACAAAAAGAAGTTCAAGATTTTGCATTTGTCCAAAATCAACGGAAAATTTTCCTGAAAATTCATTGGCTTGCATCTCAATATGTTGGAGTTTTGAAGCGTTGGATAAAGATACTGGAATAGGTCCACCAAATGAGGTATTTGTGATTTGAATAATTTGGAGACGAGGAAGAGTAAAACCTAAATTTGCTGGAAGACTTCCCTCAAGTTGATTGTAAGACAAGGAAAAACTAACAAGGGAGGAGAGGTTGTATATAGAAGGAGGAACAACACCAGATAGGTTGTTACTACCAAGTCCAAGAAATGTTAAATTTTTCAGTTGACCCAATGAGTCTGGAATATTTCCTCCAAAAGGATTACCAGCCATAGATAGCACTTCCAGGGAGGTAAGATTCCCAAGAAATGGTGGGATGCCTCCTGTCAAACTGTTATAGTACAGACGCATGAATTTAAGGTTGAACAAAGAGACAAACTCCGGTGGAATTTTCCCAACCAACTTGTTATATCCTAAAGATAATTCTGTGAGCCTGGAACAACAGGACAAGTTGGCTGGAATTTCTCCCACCAAAGAGTTATTTTGAAGTTGTAAAACTTCTAACCTGAATAGATGGCCAACTTCAGGAGGGATTTCACCTTGGATACTGTTGTTTGTGAGATCGAACTTCCGTAGGAAGCTGAGGTTGCCAATGTATGGTGACAAGGACCCCAAGAAACCTCCAGAACGTAGGCTTAGGACGGTGACTCTTTTATGCCTGCGACCACAGGTAATCCCCTCCCACTCGCAGAAGTGGCGAGAATCATTCCACAAGTTTAGAACCCCTTGAGGATCATGAATAATCTTTGACTTGAAGGCTTGCAAAGAAACACGATCTGTCTCCTGTTGAGCCAATTTGGAACTGACAAAAGTGGTAACTTGCATAAGCATGATGCAAAAAAGTAAAACAGAGCGAAAGCAAAGTGAGTGACTAATTATTGTGTTCATTTCTGAGAGTAAGATGTGAGCTTGCTTCACCTTGTCGCATTATATATGGTGAGTTTGTGAAACTCTAACACCTATTCAGTGGCATTAATTGTTACAAATCTTGACTTAAAACAGGGAACTGACTAGTGTTACACAACTTTACTAAAGATTTCCTTGCAGTGCATACGATGGTGAAGAAATTTCCAAATGACAATGTCTTTTTCAGATTTTGTTTTCTTATGCCCTGTGTGATAGTTGTTGGAACCGAATTTGATGGATCCAACACAAAAAGCTGGATATGTGAGCTAAGGTTCAATGTGATTTATATGTTTGAGCACATTATATAATGGTGAAGAAATTTGACTATCGTTACATAATTATATTTTTTATAATTTTTTAAATTTTTTCTTACAACAATCCCATGAAATATGATTTTTACTCTTAATATACCGTAAAAAAATCAAAATCAGTTGAATTTTTGTTAACCATTATTAATTTATTTTTTAAAAGAGATGTGTAGGCCTCCTGCACTTGGTGTGCGACACACAAGAAATTAGTCAATGCATATTTTTTCTTTCCTCAAGTTAAAGTGGAGTCAAGTCTCTTACAGTGTTAGTTAAGGTAGAAAATGTATCCAGAATTGTGACTTTCATGTTAAGAAACGGTGAACGTGATCCACAATTATTCTCTTTTTCATTATTTATTTATTTATTAAAAGAGATGTGTGGGCCTCCTGCACTTGGTGTGCTACACACCAGAAATTAGTCGAGGCATATTTTTTTCTTTCCTCAAGTTAAAGTGGAGCTCTTACCGTGTTAGTTAAGGTAGAAAATGCATCCAGAACTGTGACTTTCATGTAAAAAAATGGTGAACGTGATCCACATTTATTCTCTTTTTCATTTATTTTCAAAAGGTGTAAATTATCTTCCACCATGAACCAAAGAAAGTTGCAACAACTTTTTCCAAGAAATTTCCAATGAAAATGAATTAAAAATTAAGAGCACATGGGATGTAGAGATCAACCTTTCAAGTGGTAATAGGGTCCTCGTTTTATGTGACTCGTGTTTAGTAATCTCATTGCTAAACTGGCATTTATTATTATTTTTTTTTTTCCTTTTGAGCAAACTTTAGAAAGTGAAGTTTATATTTTAATAAGATTCTTAAATGAAGCTCTGTTTATTGTAATTTTACAGTAACGCCTATCAAGTCAGGTAAGTTCAAAAGAAGAATAAAAAAAATTAAATTGAAGTGACATCACTTTAAAATCATACAAGGAAATCCTATCATTGTATTCTTCCACTTAACAATTTTTAGTGGGATAAAACCCTTTTATGACGTCTTGAAACAAGTCCAAAGAGGCAATAAAGGAGGAAACCATAGGGTGCTGACTTCAATAACCAAATTAATTAGTAAAACCATTGTCGCAATTTGCCAAGACTTCAAACTCTCTTCCACAATGAATCATAGAAAGTTGAAACAGCCATCTCCAACAACAGGATCCCATAACTGTAGACATCCCCATATGTTGATACCTCATTTCCCAGACCATACTCTGAAACCCAACACGAATAACATTAGAAAGTATATAATCTTTTGAAAGGTAAATTACCTGTTAAAATTTTGTAGATGGCATGAGTTAATATTAATGTAGCAGAAGATCAAAAGTCTTGCGGTTCCCTGCAACTACATAACAGAGTTTAGGACACTTTGAGGATTATGAATAATCTTTGTCTTACATTTGATGTAGGACAGAATTCTAATCTTTGTCCTACATTATTCTTTGTTATTAGATTTTCTAATTTTAATTATGATTTTACATTGGGGAGGTTTAATTATTTTAGGATTTTGGTTAAATTAGGGAGGTTTATTTCAGTTTATTTTAGTTTCTTATTTCATAATTCCTTGTTCTATTTATTTCTTGTTCTATTAACACTAAGATTAATTTAGTATAAATAGACTTGCTCTCCTACAAACAATAACAATAGCTTACAAATAAAATTTCTTAATGGTTATTTGGTGAATTGTTTTATCGTGAATTTGATATTTTATATGGATTCAAGAAGCCTTCTTGTGGATTCATGAGTTCTATTCATGGATTCGAGCTACTACTCTATAGTGTATCTAGTGTCTATCCTATTCTATTGCATCACAAAGGGAATGACATTTCATTATAATCAGTTTTGAAATCATTCCTGCTCCACTCTCAAGCGCACTAGCTTGACCCATCGCCGACAGGGTCAAGTTAGTAAGCCTCTTGATTTGATTTCGAAACTCACTGGAACCGTCTGGTTTTCGTCCATTTCTGAATTGGCAACACTGAGTGACAAATCATTGTATTCATTTCTGAAAATTAAAAGACAATTGTTTGATATTGCCTTTCTGGATTCTTTATTGGCGTTTCTATTTGGTTGTCATACTCCACTCTCAAGCGCACTAGCTTGACCCATCGCCCACTAGGTCAAGTTAGTGCCCCTCTTGATTTGATTTTGAAACTCGGATTAAATTATAAAACATATATAAAATAACTATAGAATCCTCCAGGGATTCGTCTTCCATTTTTTGGTAATTTCATCAACTTAATTGAAAGCCAACAGTTACTCTATTTCATGTCATGGCTGTTTGTTTTCACACGTTTTGCTTGCTTTAGTCTAATTTTATTAATTTAATTTAATTATTGATATTTGAAAAGAAATTAACAATTAACTAAAAACAATTACATTTATTCATTTATAAATTGTTAATTATTCATTTGAAAAGTTAATTAAACATTTAAACTTAAACAAAATAAAAAAAAAAAAAATCAAAAAGCGGGTTAACCCGGCCCAACCCGATAGGTTAGGGTTGGCGGTCCGGGTTGAGCCAGCCAATTCCCAAACATTAGCAGGCCTAACCTGACCCGCCAATGTTACCGAACAGGTCAAGACCGACCCACCATTATCAGCAACCCGTCGCGGGCCGAGTAGGGTCGGGCCGGACGGGTTGCTTTTCCACCTCTATAGCTTGACCCGTCGCCCACTGGGTCAAGCTAGGGCGTCTCTTGATTTGATTTTGAAACTCAAATGAAATTATAAAACATATATAAAATAATTATAGAATCCTCCCAGGGATTTGTCTTCCATTTTGTATTAATTTCATCAAACTTAATTCAAAGCGAACAGTTACTCTATTTCATGTCATGGCTGTTTGTTTTCCACACGTTTCGCTTGCTTTAGTCTAAGTGGACGTTCTGCAAAAGCTTCAAACAAGTTAAGCTTTGTTCAGAAAATGTTTATGCCTCAATTCATTTTTCAAAATACTCAAGTCCTCTGTGCTGCACAGAAGGAATTGGTCAATTCCGTAGTTTTTTTGTCAAATTTAAGTGAAGTCTAGCCTCATTCCTCTTGATTTTCTAGTAAAGAACTGATGAGCATGAGTATACAACATTAAATTTCTACAAATAATCATAGAATGGTGCAGAAGTCAATATCATGAATAATCTTTGACTTGAAGGCCTGCATCGTAGCAAGATCTGTCTCGTTTTGAGCCAATTCTCTAGTTATCAAACTGGAAGAACTGGCAATAGCTGTAACTTGCGTCATAGTGATGCAAAAAAAGAAAAGCGAACTGAAAGCAAAGAGAATGAAGTAGCCAATTCCTTTAGCTTTCTTTTAACTTTTCCATTCGTCGGGTTCTATTAATACACTTTACGTGAAGCGAGTATTGTAAGTGTTTGTGAAACTCGATTCATTTTAGTGGTATTAACGCTAGTCTGGACTCCCAAACGACTTTGATTCACTGTACATAGACTTTTATGATTTTTATCGTTCAGTTTGGTGTCTGAATATTTGAATGATAATATTGTTTTCTGATTCTCCAGTTCAAGAAATTTCATAGAATGGTGATCATAATTTTACATAATTTCTTTTTTTTTTTTTTACTTGAAGTCCACTAAACAAATTTCCGCAATGATTCATAGAAAGTTGCATAGGTGAATATCAAACAGTTTTAAAAAAGAAATAATTACTTATATGACCCGACATCTATCAAGTGGCAAAAGAGAAAAACGGATTTATTAAAGATACCTTAGTGGTGTCTAATGCTGAAGAAAATATGACCCGATATCTATCAAGTGGGCTTTAGCCATCTAAAATATAGTCGATTTGTTTTCTAGTCTTTAAAATCATTGGAAAATTTTAGACCAATAATTCATTTTAAATGTTATCAAGATCAAGAGCTAACAAAGTCTAAAACTAAACTCATGGATCAATGAATTATAGCCATATCACTGTTAAATTTGGTTATTTGTATTCAAATTTGTTGGAGTTTTTATCATTTGTGTGAAGAGTGACTTATTAATATGACAACTTTTATCAATATCCTGACCGGTAATTTAAGGAAAACTATGAGTATTTTAATTATAAATTTACGTTATAAATTGAATCAAATGATAGAGAGCATTTAATTATTTGATTTGAACTATTAACTAATATTTATTGGATAATTAAATACAAAAAGGTTGAAAGAAATAATTGAGAAATTTTACGATTTTCAAATCTCTAGTGGACTTGAGTCAATTCTACCCTATTAGTAACACAAACATCGATCAGTCAATTCTTCCCCATAAGTCACACAAACGTGTCATTAATTTGATTATCATGAATATAACTGAAGAGCATAATAATTTCTTCTTTTTCTTTAATTCTATTTGTGATTTTCCTCAAGGAGTAGAAAGTTGCATGAATTTTTTGCAAGAAATTTCCAATGAAACCTACAAATTTAGTTCATATTCAACTATTCATTGCATACATATAAAAGTACACCAGGATAGGGCTGCAAACGAACCGAACAGTTCACGAACGTTCGTTGTTCGTTCGATTACTGTTCGATAATGTTCGCGAACAGTTCGATATTCGTTCGATAATATGTTCGATCGAGTTCGAACAAGGATTATTCGTTCGATTATGTTCGCGAACACTGTACGTTCGATTACTGTTCGATAATGTTCGCGAACAGTTCGATATTCGTTCGATAATATGTTCGATTGAGTTCGAACAGGGGTTGTTCGTTCGATTATGTTCGCGAACACTATACGTTCGACTAATCCATCCGTTCGCAAACAATCGTTCGATTGTTCGTTCGTTTATGTTCGAAAAACATGTTATGCATCATCATAATTAAATTTTTTTTTTCATTTTTATATTATGTTTGATTTAGTTTGGATGAATTTTTTTTTAATTGTAATCAATAATAAAATATTATGATACTTTTGTTTTTCTTATATATATAATATGTTTGGATTTTTTTTTTCCAAATGTCATCAATAATTAAATATATAAGTATATAACATTTTAATTAAAAAGTAATAAATTATTATGATAACTAGCATGACAAATTTAATAACGTAATAGATTGTATAATCAAGTGATATATAATATAGTAAATCCAATAACATAATAGCTTCATATTTTTCAAATATAATCAAATTAATTAAATATAAAGAAACATTTCAATTAATAATAAAAAATATAGTATGGTAAATTGATAAACATAACATATTGTATAATCAAGCGATGTATAATATAACAAATTTAATAATATAATAGCTTAATTAAACCTAAATTAATCACACATTTGTATGATCATACATTACAATAAACCCTCATACCGTTATGAATTATAGGTGTTAATACAAAAATATATATATATATATATATATATATATATATATATATATATATATATAATATATATATATATATATATTATTATATATAATATTATATATATATATAATATTATATAATATATATATATATAAACAGTAATGATGACATATGTATTGATCATATTACAATAGACTTTCATTCCACTATAAATTTATGAGTGTTGATACCAAATATATATGTAAACATTTAAAATATATGATAATTTATTTAATGATAATAAAATATGATAACCTATAATTTTGATAATTTCATAACATATTTAACCTATGATAATATATGTATGATAATAATTCTTTATATACACAATTAAATTATATATAACAAATTAATCACACATATATGTTGATCATATATTATAATAGACCTTCATTTCACTATGAATTTATGGGTGTGATACAAAATGTATATGTAGACAGTAATAATAAATATATTTATATAACAAATTAATCACACATATGTATTGATCAATATTACAATAGATTTTCATTTCACTAAATTTATGCGCGTTGATACAAATAATATGTAAACATTTAAAATATTATGATAATTTATGTAGATAATAATATATATGTAAACAAATCTTTTTGTTTGTGTCATGTTTGATATGGAACTAAATTGTTTTGAACGATTTAGTATTCTGTTTAATTTATTTTGAAGTTTTATTATTTATGATGGTTAGTTATTTTATACTGAGTTTTTATTGATTTGTTTAAAATATAAATATAGATAGAGAGTTGGTTTATTTTCAAATGTTGAATTAAATGGATATGAATTATAAATTGTTGCATATTGTTTTTTAGAGCATCAATTGGAAAGTGGTGTATATTTTTATTCGAACAGGTATTCAAACGAGTTATTCGAATATGTATTTACAAGTTATCGAACGAGTTATTCGAAAGGTATTTACAAATTATCGAACGAGTTAGTCGAACAAATTAGTCGAACGAACACGAACGAGTTACGAACGAGACGAACGAGCTTTTTGTTAATCGAACGAACACGAACACACATCCTGTATTCGTCAACACGAACACGAACAATCGAACATGCTATCGAACGATTTTCGAATGGGCCTGTTCGTTCATATTCAGTTCGATTGCAGGCCTACATCGGGAATGCAAACAATCAGCAGACCCCATAACTTTGAAAATCAATTTCCAAAAAGTCTCCTCTTATTCGTAATGGGCCAGTTTGGCCATCTTTAATTCAGTCAATTGTGATTCTTTACAGTTTATTTCCACTAATCTTTGGTAACTCATCGTCACCTTTTTTTTTTTTTTTTTTTTTTTTGGTTTGCCTGGTTAAATTTAAGTATCTTTTTTATTTTTGGGTAAAACTTGAATAATGCATTCATTTAGTTATTTCCTTGTCGTGTATATGATGGTGAAGAAATTTGGTGTAATTGGACGTTAAAAATGCTTCAATCTGCTTTTGATTTGACTCTTGCTGAGAAAATTTTATCCTTCAATTCAATTTTAAAAATTCCAAGGGCCTCCTCCAGTTATTGTGCTACACAAGAAATTAATGCATGATCTTTTCTTTTCTCAATTTGAAGTGGAGTCAAGCCCTTACCGTCTTAGTTAAGGTAAAAGAAGTATCCAGTACTAAGTGGAGTTAAGTTCTTACCGTCTTAATTAAGTGGAGTCAAGTCCATCATCTCCCATATGACAATAAAAAAAGAGTGCCTTCTTCCACTTAATAATTTTTAGTGGGAACGTCTTGAAACAAGTCCAAAGAGGTAATGAACGAGACTCCATGGGTGTTGACTTCAATAACCAAATTAATTAGTAAAACATTGTCGCAATTAGCCAAGACTTCAAATCTCTTCCACAACGATATTAGAAAGTTGCAACATCCATCTCTAACAACAGGATCCCATATAACTGTAGACATCCCCATTTATTGACATCTCACTTCCAAGACCATACTCATAAACCCAACAACAATAACATTAGAAATTATAATAATCTTTTGAAAAGTAAATACTGTTCAATTTTTTAGTAAGCATGAGTTAATATTAATGTAGCAGAATATCAAAAGTCTTGCAATTCCCTGCAGCTGCATAACACGAGTTCAGGACACCTTGAGGATCATGAAATCTTTGTTCTACATCTGATGTAGGACAGAATTCTAATCTTTGTCCTACATTATTTTTTGTTATTAGATTTTCCAATATTAATGATGTTTTTATTTGGGAGTTTAATTATTTTAGGATTTTGGTTAAATTAGGAAGGTTTATTTTAGTTTCTTATTTAATAATTCCTTATCTCTTGTTCTATTAACACTAGGTAAATAGTATAAATAGATTTGTTATCCTACAAACAATAATAATGGCTTATCAATAAAATTTCTTAATGGTTTCTTGGTGAACTGTTTTGTCGTAGATTTGACATTTCTTGTGGATTCAAAAAATCTCCTTATACATTCAGGAGTTTTATTATTGGATCGAGCTACTATGCTAAAAAGTGTATCTAGTGTCTATCCTATTCTGTTGCATCACAAACAGAATGGCATTTCATTATAATCAATTCTGAAATCATTCCTAGTCCACTCTCAAACGCACTAGCTGACCCATCGCCGACTCGGTCAAGTTAGTGTGCCTCTTGATTTGATTTTCAAACTCAAATGAAATTTAAAACTATATAAAATAAATATAGAATCTTCCTGGGGATTGGTCTTCCATTTTTTGTTAATTTCATCAACTTAATTGAAAGCAGTTTGTCTGTTTCATGCCATGGCTGTTTGTTTTCCACACGTTTCGCTTGTTTAGTCTATATGGACATTCTGCAAAAGCTTCAAACAAGTTAAGCTTTGTTCAGAAAATGTTATGCCACAATTCAATTTTCAAAATACTCAAGTCCTTTGTGTTGCACATAAGAAATTGGTCAATTCCATAGTTCTTTTGTCAAATTTAAGTGGAGTCTAGCCTCATTCCTCTCTGTTTTCTGGTAAAGAACTGATGATCATGAGTACATAACATTAAATTTCTACCAATAATCATAGAATGTTGCAAAAGTCAATATCTTCCACTGAAAATAAGAAAGTTGCAAAATCAATTTCCCTGGAAATTTCTGAGTACTGTGGTTCATTATGATGCTTGGAGAAGTTGAACCCTCCATAGTCAACGTATTATTCACTCTGGCAAGAAGTTGAAACCAGAAACAAAGTTGCAAAAAAATTTATAGGAAACTTCAAATGAAATAATACAAATTAAGCACATTTTTCAAACGAAAAATAAATTGGCATCGTGATTCAATTGGTGTTTGACGCTGGCTCTTTAGAAGCAGGACCGAAGCCGTAGAGGAAGCGGGAGTTTCTCACCCCATCTTGCATGCTTTGGGCCCATTTTCGGCCCAGAATTATTATTATGGGTCCTCTTTAGAGGATTGGACCTAGTTGGAATACAAATTTATTTATACCCAGACATTAGTGTTATTAATTATTTGATTAAATAGACTACATTATACAATATTATTTTAAATCTTTAATTATTTAATTATTGTTATTACTTAAATTATTGGTACAGTGTTTTTGACTGGAGCTTATGAAAGAAAAGATTGAGTAGAGTTTATAAGAGTAGAGCTTTTGGAAAATTTTGTTAATTGTTTCTTAGGAAATGTAAAAAAGCTATCTTATGTTAATTTACCAAGAAGGCTTTAATTTTCTAGAATAAATCAAGTAATTTATAATAAAGTATGAAAATTTTGAAATTTCAGCACTTTAAATAAGCCACAAAAAGCTTATAAAATTAGAGTTTCTCCTTATAAGTTGGAAAATAGTTTATTTAAAATCCTATAAACACTTTTGAAATACAATCAAACAGTCTTTAAAATAATAGTTACTTATATGACGCTATTTAAGAGTCAAATTAAAAACAACCCATCTCTAATTGTCTTTGCAATTAAGACCTTTGATACAAGATTTGGATGATTTTGCCTTTCTGCTTCAATTCACTTCTTTCTTCCTCCTCTTTTCTTCTTTCTCTTCTATCTTCTCCTTAATGTTTAGATTTATGTTTTTCGTTTTTTGTAATAGTCAGGGTACTATTATGTTCATATGTGTTTATATAAGTGAGATATTGCATATTTAGGGGAAAAAGAAAAAAAAAAAAATCCACTTTCTATATTTAAATAAAAAATCTGATTTTAAGAAAAATTGTAGAAACTCGAGTTGCTTGAGTCTGGTGGCTCGAATCTAGTCACTCGAGTGGGGTATAAGATATTAAACTTGCTTGAGAGAGACTATTTGATATTTTATATGAGTAATTAGACATTTTGCATATAGATTATATGCAAAATTTCAAATGACCCATGTATCAAAAACTTGTTTGAGTGAGTTTAGTATCATTAATTCTTATGCCCCACTTGAGTGACTGGACTCGAGTTTATTCAAATTTGCTCGGATTTTTTTCATCAATTTTTTTGGAAAAGTGATTTTTTAACTCAATTTGAATTAACACGGTTCTTTTTTCATACACTAAACATATTTTCGACATTTCATGTACATTTTTAACTTTAAATTCTTAAAAAAATCAACCAAAAAACCAAAAATTCTATTTTCAATCTTGAATCAAAATCTTTTTTTTTTTTTTTTTTTTTTTCATTTCATGGAAACAATGATATACATGAGTGCGAAGAAAGAGGGGTAGAAGTGTTCAAAAATATTAGAGGTCTTGCTTAAAAAGCCATTTAGAAGTTGGATATTTAGAAGTTAGATTGAAACACTAAAATGAGCAAAATTAATAGCTAGAGCAGATAGATATAGAAAATGTATTCAAGAAAGTAAAAGTTGATGACGAACTGAGAATTTCAATTAAAGATATAATTTGAAATTTAAAAAAAAAAAAAAATTACCTCAATTGTTCTCACAGATCTTGCTTGTGTTTGTTTGGCTCTCCACTGGATGGAGAGGCAAAGTATGAGCTAAAATGGGAGGGAAAATTAAAATTATGAAATATAGAGATTATATATTATGCGGTGGGTGCACTATAAGTTTTGGTGTTATAGAATTTAAGGAAATTTTAGGGTCTTTTTATAGATTAAAAGAATAAGGGGTTTACTGTTATTACTCACCTTATTTCTTCATTCTTTGTCACCTCTTTATAATTATTCATCTCAATCCTTGGACAAGGGACAAATCAGAATTAATTTTTGAGAGGGTAACAAATGTGTAAAATTGTTATTTATTTAATTAATTAGTAAAAAATATTCTCTTTAGAAAACATTGTGTGATATTAACCAATTATATATAATGTATTTATACATGTAACCAAATATTTTGAAAATATGGAATGCTATGCATTTGATCTCTTATGTTTGAAATAAATCACCAATATATATATATTTGTTTTTGAGCATTGGGACTTAAAGCAATTGTTTGAGAATAACTTTATGACGAATTATCTTTTTAAGTTTTTTGAGAGCGTTAAGGTGTTATATCAATAAATTTGAGATACATGGATAGTTTACGGATAAATAATGAGATATGAACTTATATATAAAATATTAATAATTGGAATTTAATTGATACATATATATTCATGAAAGGGAAATTTTCTTAAACTAGAAACCTAGAAGAAAAATCTCACAAAGTTGATTGAAACAAAGAGAGTACATTAATATAAGTTAATAAAATATATAGCTCAGAAGAACTTGATAATGGTTATATCATCTACCTCCTTATTGTCCATCGATAAACACTGCTGATGATATTCATTTCATACCCCTACAATTAAAAAAAAAAAGAAAAATACCGAATTATAAAAGAAAAGTGCAAAAATGGTGGGAGATTTTACCTCATTATCAAAAAGAGAGGTAATTTAAATCTTTTTCCATCTTACCTTCTTGCCTGTTGAGCTTTAGAAGGATGTTCTTGGCTGATTTTAGTTCATTCACAACATCTCTTATATTCATTCGATCTTGTGGAGATTCCATTGAACATGCCACTCCAATCCTTACCATGATATTGAAACATTCCTTTTTGATGTTGTTTCTTGTTTCCCTCAACCTATGCCTTGTACCAGACACCTCTTCTTCATCATTTAGAAGCAGAGGATCCACAATGTCCATCACCCGGTCAGGCAAGGCTATTCTGACAAAATTGTGAAGATTAAAGTCTCCTTCAAATATAGGGTCTGTGGGTTTTTTACTTGTTACCATCTCCAACAACAAGATCCCATAACTATAGACATCCCCATTTGTCGACAACTCACTTCCTAGACCAAACTCTGCTATTCACAATAATATTATATTAGGAAGTATATGACCTTTGACACGTAATTAACTTTTTAAATTAAAAAATTTGGTGGTTACCTGGGGCTGCATACCCTATTGTTCCTCTTACTTCAACAGAACTGCTTTTATTTGGATTTGAGACTTCTGGGAGAAACTTTGCTAGACCGAAATCCCCAACATGAGCTGTCATGTTATCGTCTAGAAGAACATTGCCTGGCTTTAGATCGCAATGGAGGATTGGCTCATGGCAATGATGATGAAGATAATCTATCGCAGAGGCCACATCAATTGCAATGTTTATTCTCTGAAGAAGAGTGAGATTCTGAATTTCAGGTTGCTCTTCTTCTGTTTTTGGTGTAAAATGCAACCACTTCTCAAGACTCCCATTTGGCATGTACTCATAAACAAGAGCTTTAAAGTCATTGCCTTGAAAATCAATGCTTGAGCAAGAAGTTATGACTTTGACAAGATTTCTATGACGGATATTTCTCAATGCTTTACACTCTGCTAAGAAACTCTTGGAAGCTCCTTGACGTTGAAGATTAAGTACTTTAACTGCAACAATGGTTCCGTCTTGATTAAAGATTCCCTTATACACTGAACCAAAACTGCCCACACCAATCAATTGTGTTGAAGAAAACCCATCAGTTGCTTTAAGAAGCTTTTCATAAGACAAATTCAAAAGTTCTCTTATCAACGTAGATTCAGATTCAGAAGGTTGTTTTCCTCTTCTCTTTTTGAGCCAACAAAAAATGAAAAATGACATCATGACCAAACCTGAAAAGATGCTTACGGTTGAGATTAATATTTTCGACAGTTGAGAGATCTTTTCCTTCTTTGACTCATTGTTGATGCATTTCGGGAGATGTAGTTCAGCTATACCCCCACAAAGTCGATTACTATTTCCGACAATTGATATTGCACTTGCATTTGCAAAAATTCCTTTCGTTGGTACTTCGCCTTCTAAATTATTGAAGGACAAGTTTAGATTCTCCAAAGCGAGAGTTGCCAAGAATTTTGGAATTTGACCAGACAAATTGTTACGAGAAAGATCAATGTCTCGAATTCCTCTAAGAGAACTCAATGATGAGGGTATAAATCCTTGAAAGAAATTGCCCTCGATATAAAGATATTCAAGACTAGAACAAAGACTGAGTTGACTTGGAATTTCACCAGATAAATTATTGTCAGACACATCAAAAGCTGATAGAACTTTCAGGTTACCAATGTTTGGAGGTATAGTTCCAATCAATTGGTTTCGGGCTACATTCAGTGAAATTGATAGATGTGTTATTTCAGATATTTGTTTGGGTATGGTTCCACTAATTTCATTTTGGGAAAGATCCAAATATGATAATTGTTTCAATTTTCCTATACTGAAAGGGATGACTCCAGATAATTTGTTATTATTCAACCAAAGGACCTCAAGTTTTGACAGGTTCCCTAGAAACGAAGGAATTTCGCCTGAGAGTTTGTTGTTAGACAGGATAAAAAATCGAAGGTTGTGAAGCTTACCTAGTTCTTCCGGAATTGTGCCTGAAAATTGGTTCTCGGAAATCTGGAAAGAATACAAGTTAACCTGGTTGCTTATCCCCAAAGGAACGTTTCCATACTAATTATTACCAAAAATATCAAAAGTTCGGAGTGTAGTACTAGAGAAATTGGCTATGGAATGAGGCAAGGGTCCTCTGAATTGGTTTTCATATATGATGATACCCCTCAAATGGCTACAGTTGACCAAAGAACTTATAAAACTCATCTCATCACCTTCCCCACTTCCTAACTTATTAGTGGCCACATTCAGCAATGCAAAATGTTGCAGGCCTCCAAAGTCAACTGACAGTTTTCCAGAAAAATCATTGCTGTTCAATTGAAAATGCTCCAGTTCTGAAGCATTGGATAAAGATACTGGAATAGATCCACTAAATAAGTTATGGGAGACTTGAAAATATTTGAGACGAGGAAAAGCAAGACCTAAATTTGGTGGAAGACTTCCATGGAGTTGATTGAGAACCAAAGAAAAATTAACAAGAAAGGAAAGATTGTATATAGAAGAAGGAACCGCACCAGATAGGTTGTTTTCACCAAGTCCAAGACTTGTTAAATTTTTCAGTCGACCCAATGAATCTGGAATGTTTCCTCCAAAAGCATTGACAGCTAAATTCAACTTTTCCAGGGAGGTAAGATTCCCAAGAAAATGTGGGATGCCTCCTGTCAAATTGTTATGAAATACATTTAATGATTTGATGTTCCTCAAGGAGACAAACTCCGGTGGCAATTTCCCTACAAGATTGTTTCCTCCTAGATACAAGAATGTAAGCCTTGAGCAATGGGACAAGTTGGCCGGAATTTCTCCTACCAAGGAGTTATTGAGCAGTTGTAAATCTTTTAACCTGAACAAACGACCAACATCGGGAGGGATTTCACCTTGGAGACTATTGTTTGAGACATCGAACTTCTGTAGGAAGCTGAGGTTGCCAATGGATGGTGACAACGACCCAGACAAACCTCTTGAACGTAGTTCTAAGAAGGTGACTCTTCTATGCTAATCCCCTCCCAATCGCAGAAGTGTCGAGAATCATTCCAGGAGTTAAGGACACCTTGAGGATCATGAATAATCTTTGACTTGAAGGCCTGCAAGGCAACACGATCTGTCTCGTTTTCAGCCAATTCAGAATTGACAAAAGTCGTAAACTGTATCACCGTGATGCAAAAGAGAAAAACGGATTGAAACTGTATCAATGTATTCATTTCTCAAAGGAAGATGGCTACTGATCTTTGATCTTGCCTTCTAGTGTTTTTTTATTAGCTAACTTCACCTCTGTCTCATAAATGGTGTGCTACCGAGCCAATTCAGAATTGACAAAAGTCTGTAAAATGATTTGACTTCCGCGACATAAACTTTATTAAAGATGTCATAGTGGCGTCTCATGCGGAAGAAAATATGACCCTACATCTAACAAGTGGGCATTAGTTATCTAATTTATAGCTATTAAAGATATTGTCAAGATCAATAGCTAACAAAGTCATAACACTAAACTCATGGATCAAATTTGTTGGAGTCAATTCTTCCCTATACAAGTCACGCAAAAGTATCATTTGTTTTTTCTATTTATCCTTTGTCTTTAATTCTATTTGTGATTTTTCCACAAGGAGGCTTTAGCCATCTAAAATTATTGCAAAAATTTAGACCAATAATTCATTTTATATGTTGTCAAAATCAAGAGCTAACAAAGTCTCAACACTAAACTCATGGAGTCAATTCTTCTCTATAAGTCACGCAAACGTATCGTTTGATAATTTCTCCTTTGTCTTTAATTTTATTTGTGATTTTTCCACAAGGAGTAGAAAGTTGCATCGATTTTTTTCAAGAAATTTCCAATAAAACCTACAAATTTAGTTCATATTCATTGCATACATATAAAAGAACAGCTGGAATGAAAACTAGTTGGCAGACCCACAACTTTGAAAATTCCAATTTCCACAAAGTCTCTTATTCTGAAATGGGTTAGTTTTCCTCTCCCCGTGGGCCCGCATTAATTTAGTCAATTTCTTTCAACACTAATATATTTGTTTGTTTTTGATATTACCAAATTGTCCTTCTTTACTATTTATTTCTACTAAATCTTTATTTCTACTAAATCTTTGCTAACCACATGGTCCCCTTTTTTTTCTTGTTTCCTTGGTTAAATTTAAGTATCCATTTTTTTTTTTTTTTTTGGTACAACTTGAAATATGCATTCATTTAGTTATTTTTTTCTCCTGCCTATTAAAAAAAATAGAGGTTAACAATTGTTTAACTTGCAAGTTTAAACAAGAGTTAAATTGAATCTACTCATGTAATACTTATACCTTTTCCACGGCAAAGAAGTTAAAAATACGGTAAGCATATATAGAAGCACAAATCCATAAAATATCCACCTTAATGGAGAAACATATTACATATAACAAGGATCAATTGTTGTATTCTCAGCTTTTAGTTCAATCATAGTGCAGTTTTGATGAGGATATTAATTTCATAGCCCTGCGATTAGTAAAGGGAATAGGCTAAAAATAATATAAATGAAAGAACAAAAACTCCATGACCATTTTAGCTCAATGTCAAGAAGAGAGGTAGTTTCTTAAGTATATTCATTCGATCTTTTGATGACTCCATTGAACATGCCACTCCACTCCTTGCAATAGAAATGAGACATTTTTCTGATGTTACTTATTGTTTCCTTCAGCCTATGGTTAGTAGCAGTCGACAATCGTCTCTTCATCAACATTTAGAAGTACGGATCCACAATGTGCATCACCCAGTTAGACAAGGCTACTTTAGCAAAGATAGAACGATTAACGCCTCCCTCAAACATAATATATGTGTGCCATTTCCTCATTATCACCTCCAATAACAAAATTCCAAAACTGTAGACATCCCCATTTGTTGACACCTCATGACTTCTGAGACCAATCTCCAATTCCCAAGAATAACATAAGAAAACACTTGATCTTTTTGACAAGTAATTAAGTGTTCATATTAGATAGAAAACATTATAATGTTCAAATGATGACTGACTGATTACAACTGTTTATTGCCTAATAACTCTATTGCTAAACTGGGCGTTTTTTTATTGGAATTGTCTTTGTCCTGTTTATTGTAATTTTATGTCACTCCATCAGAATGTGGGTGGCCTGGCAGATTATCCCAGAAAACTGTCTTATTTCACCTTGCTCAAACTGCTTGATGAAGATATTAATTTCTTAGTCTTGCGATTAAAAATGGCAACAACAAAAGAAAATTAGAAGAATAATTCAAGAATTACAAGGAAGTTTTTCTCCTTATCAACAAAAGAGAGAGTTTAAATCTTACCTCCTCACCTGTGAGGACAATTCTAGGCTAGAGAAGGATGTTCTTCACCTCTTGTAATTCACGAACAACATTGGTTATGTTCATTCGTTCTTGTGGTATCTCCATTGAACATGTCACTTCGATCCTTACCATCGAAATTGTGAAGATTAAGACCTCCCTCAAACCTAAGGTCTGTTGGCCTCTTTCTTGTTATCACCTCCAACAACAGGATTCGAAAACTGTACACATCCCTATTTGTTGACACCTCACTTCCGAGACCATACTCCGCAATTCACAATAATTATATTAATATTTACTTTAAATATGATATGAAGAAAGAAAATAAATAAAAATAAGAAAGTGAGCATTTTAAGAATAGGAGCTATAAATGCGACTGGGAATGGTGATATAAAAAGAAAATTTACGCGAAAATGGAATATCTTAGAGGAACTTTAGCACTAAGAGAAGGGAAAAGGGAAAAGGGAAAAAGGTTGAGGACGATATTGCTACGGAAGGTCAAAAAGCGCAATTCATCCTTGTCAGAATCAGAATCAGATAATCAGGCAATCACCGTAAGATGAAAAAATATCTTCCGACCAAAATATATAATCTCATTACTTAAACAATAACATTAACTGTTTAAGTCCATAGTCATCACATGCAACAAATCAGTTCTGCCAATCACCTAGCTAGAATATATTAGGCCCACTGACGTGAAGATCAATGCTCCACTCAAGCATCATTTTTAATTCCCAAATAAAAAAAAAAATTCTAAATAACATATTTATTTTAAAAAAAAGTGTTATTTTGAAGCCACGTAGACAAGGGCTTCAAAATTTTATAAATAGCAGTATCTAGCTATTGACAAATTACTAAACCATCACAAACAGCAGTAGGCTTTCCTTATTTCTTTACTACTCTGCAACATATAAACTAATATTATCAATGGAAAAGGTCAAAGAAACCTATAAATTCTTAAAATCTTAACTCAAGTACTACTTTCTATGTTACATCACGCATGTATGAAACCTCCTGGCATCATACTTACACTTACAAAGTAGACTCACATGGTGTACAACAAATTATAATTAGGTTAGGAAAAGCACCTACTCAATTGGTTTCCTCTTCCTCCCAAGAACTGAGGCCCTCTGAAATTTAGGGCCACCTATCCACCACTTTTTAAAGGCTACCATGGAGTTTCGTGCGACTATTTACACTACAAAGGCAAAAGCATTTTATCATTATTGCTAATATAGATAATAGATGTGACATGAAAATGGAAGATATGTGGTTAAATGAGCAAAAATAATCTCACAGTTAGTTTCTTGTTTCATCAAAACCGTCAAGAATTTGGAAGCCGCTGCATACGCTACGGTGTGTGCCTTGGTAAAGATATCCTTATACCTCATCTGAAATGTAGACACACCAGCCCTATCCATGAAAACAAGAGCTAAGTAGATAAAAACTCAAAGTGAATTTCATGTTGGGAAGTTGAAATATGATTACCGCAACTGCACAGTTCAAAGCAGTAGCTAGCAACTAGTACTGCTTATGAGTTGTTTAGTGTTAATTAATTACAAGTATGGCATCCATCCTACTTGTAATTAATGTTAACTGTGCCCTTCCTAAATTAGATGTAATGAAGAAGCATCATTATGTTAGAGATAAAGGAACAAAGAAGTATCCACTAACCACATTACTAGGCTGATGCATTTGATGCAAGTTTCCAACATTTAGGATAATAAAAACATGAACAGGTGATGGTGTTCATTTCTCTTTTCACTCTATTGTTTTCAACATTAACTTTCTGATGAATCCGATCTCTAACATACATATTGATCTTCTGAGACAAGGAACTGACCACATCCTTAATTCCATCCCGAGACATGAAAATTTAGCTCTATACCTTCAATATGCTTCTCAGTTTCAATAAGATGCAGAAACTAGGAAAAACTAGAGACTAGTTCAAATTGTTTATGCAATAAAGAACCAGATCAGCTCTGTTCTAAAAAAGCAGTGAAACATAATGATGAGCATCAAACAAAGCTGGTGTACCACAGGAAGGGTGGTGGTAGAAAGTAGGGGAATATTAGGCAGTTGGGATTTGTTATGGGGGAATATTTAGGGAATATCTGTGGAACTGGTGGCAGGATATGAGGGGATGAGGGAGAATTCAGTTAGAACATACAGGTGAGAAAACAGAATAAAAAGGGGAGAAGAGAAAAGGGGAAGAACGGGAATTTGAGAGTGAAATTGCAGGGAGATTACTGACCCTCGAAGTCAGTCTGTTACTTATCATTTTTCTGGTGTATTTGCATTGTCTTTATGAGTTAATTGTTGTTTGTTGTTGAGCTTTGCTAGGAAAGGACTGTTAGCTTTATTGATAAGGCTGTATGCTTTTAGGGTGATTAATATAACAGATTCTTTTCGTTAAATATTGATTTTGGCGTGGAGTGTGGATTGTTGTTGGTAGTTTTGTCCAGATTGCAGGTCAGATCCTAACAANCTCGAAGTCAGTATTTGGGAGGTGGCTGACCCTCGAAGTCAGTCTTTTGATTTCTTTTTGATTGTATTCTGCATTATTGTTTCTGAGTTGTTTCTGAGTTGTTTGCCTACTAAATACTGAGGATAGGACTGTGGGAACTTAAGTTTGTCTGAGTGTAATGCTTCATTGGAATTAATACACAGGGTCCTTTTACTGTTTTGGTGAATTTAACGTGTGAGTTCAGATTATTTGTTGGTAGTTTAGTTGATTTGCAGGTCTGGTCCTATCAAGATCCAAGCTTCTGTTTGGCATGTACTTGTAAATCAACATATTTCCTTTCCTCTGAGTGCCAATCCCCAAGACCGTACCAGATTTACATGTTGCAGCCTCATCACGGTAAGCTCGACTTGATTCTTGAACTCTCCAAGTCCTTGATGAGAAGTTTTGGAAACTCTCTTTACTGCTATCTCCTGTCCTATTGGAAATTTCCCCTGAAATATATACATAGTGATCACTAGCTTCATTCTTGAACTCCTGAAGTCCTTGACGGATTTTGAACTCAAACGGTTTCTACTATTACCTTTTAAACAGATCCATATCCACCCTCGCTGAGCTTTTTGTCACTTGAGAAGTTATTTGTAGCTTCCTTAATAGTGTAAACGTGAATATTTACAGATTGTTTGCATTTTTGTTAAGATTTCTGGCAGCTGATGCTTTTGTTTTCAGTTTAGACAGCAGTCTTTTCATACTACTTATAACCCCTGAAATCAATGTAATGAAATGCAAAATTAGGAAATAGTTAGGCAATCATTCAATTTCATTGTGATTATATAATTAGATTCAAATTACCTCCCGGCTAGAGTAATATTCTTTTCAAAAAACACATTAAGATCCCCAGTAGCAGCATAAATGTTGCTAATGTAACCAGAATAATCATCAGAAGCCGCTGTTTGTTTCTGCCGATCATCACCTTCCTTTTGGGCTATGAAAGTTGTTTCATTGTTATGTTAATTAGTATGTGTCACCAAGTTACTCAATTTCTCTTACAGTCAAAATTTTGGATTAATTGTTGAGACAATTATTGAAGATTAGAAGTAATCAAAAGTTCTATACCAGCTGAGGGAAACTCCCAGTTTTCGTGGTTGCCTAGTGGAAATACACTGTAACCAAGTAGCCCTTTCACTTTTGCAAATGAAACCTTAGCTTTTACAGCCTCCACACCATCAAAATTGATCCAGTTTGTTCCACCAGTGAAGAGATTCACTGCATAAGTGTCATTGGACACTGAAGCAGCTCTGTAGCCATAACTGCGAATNCTCAAGGGGAGAATCCAAGGTAAGGAATGGATTGTGTTGATTGATAGTGGGGCTTCCCACAATTTCATTAGCTCGAAAGTGGTTGAACAATTGGGGATACCAGTGGAAAGGACTCAGTCCTTTGGGGTCAGAGTGGGTGATGGATATAGTGTGAGATGTGAAGGGGAATGTAAGGATGTGTGTCTGGAGTTACCGACGGTGACAATCGTGCAAAACTTTTTTCCATTTGAGATGAGTAGCGCGAACGTAGTCCTAGGTATTGCATGGCTTGAGACATTGGGTGAGACTGTTACAGACTGGAGAAAACAAACTATGAAATTCACAATAGGACCCCGGGCAGTATGTTTGTATGGTGATCCCTCTTTTAGCAAGACCATGGTATGACTCAAGGCGATGATTAAGGCATTACAAAGTGAAGGACAGGGCTGTTTGATCGAGTTCGGGCAGCTGCAGACTCAGTGTGAAAATATGGGGGCTATTGATGACAGACTGCTGAAGGTATTGGGACAGTATAGTCAAGTCTTCGAGCCACTCTCCGGGTTACCACCAACCAGGTCAAAGGACCATGCCATTCAGCTAGTTCCCGGAACACAGCCACCAAACCTCAGACCCTACCGATACCCTTATTATCAGAAAAATGAGATCGAGCATATCGTCAAAGAAATGTTGGCATCGGGAATTATAAAACCAAGCATTAGCCCGTTTTCCAGCCCTGTTTTATTAGTGAAAAAGAAAGACGGAGGCTGGCGATTTTGTGTAGATTATCGGGCCGTTAACAAGGTGACAGTTCCGAATAAATTTCCAATCCCCGCTATCGACGAACTGTTTGATGAGTTAGACGGGGCAACTGTATTTTCAAAACTCGACTTAAAGTCAGGTTATCATCAAATCAGAGTGAAACCCGAAGACATACCAAAGACTGCTTTTCGGACACACGAGGGGCACTATGAGTTTCTCATAATGCCTTTCGGCCTTACCAACGCACCAGCAATGTTTCAAGCAGTTATGAATGATGTATTCAGGCCATATTTGAGAAAATTTTTACTGGTGTTTTTCGATGATATACTGATTTACAGTAAGCAGATGGATGAGCACGCAGTGCATTTAGGTATTATTTTGCAGGTGTTATTGGAGAATCAGCTGGTGGTTAATCAAAAGAAGTGTCAATTCGGGCAACTTCAGCTGGAATATTTAGGGCATGTTGTGTCAGCCAAGGGTGTGGCAGTTGATCCCACCAAAATTGAAAGCATCACTAAATGGCCAGAACCAAAGGACATCAGGGCACTTAGGGGATTTCTGGGATTGACAGGCTACTACCGCCGTTTCGTTCGCGATTATGGTAAGATCGCTCTTCCACTCACTGCCCTTTTAAAAAAAGATTCTTTTGCATGGAATCTAGTAACTCAACGGGCTTTCGAAGAGTTAAAGCGAATCATGACCAGCGTCCCTGTCCTCAGGATGCCTAATTTCACTCAAGAGTTTGTCATCGAGACAGATGCTTCGGGAAGCGGACTGGGGGCAATATTGATGCAAGAGGGGCGACCGATTGCATTTCTCAGTAAAGGCTTGTCTATCAATTCCAAACTTAAGTCAGCCTATGAGCGGGAATTAATGGCGGTTGTATTGGCAATGCAAAAATGGCGGCATTATCTCCTGGGCCGACGTTTTGTTTTCAGGACAGATAAACGGAGTTTACATTTCCTAACTGACCAGAAACTGCTAAGTGAAAGTCAGCAAAAGTGGGTTATCAAACTCTTAGGACTGCACTTCATCATTCAATATAAACCGGGACCACAAAACAAAGTAACAGACGCCCTTTCCAGGATGTCAGAGACAGTTGAGTATCATGCTGTTTCGATGGGGTGTTTTTCGGGCCTTGACAGTTTTGAGGATGTCGTACAACAAGATGTCAAGTTACGGCAGATTATCCAACAGCTCTTGATTGACCCAAACAGTCACCCTCGTTTTAGACTGGTGGGACGCCATTTGATGTATCACAACAGATTGGTTTTACCAAAATCAGGGCCTCACATTGATCAGATACTGCAAGAATTCCATACTTCACCGATTGGAGGTCATTCTGGTTTTTTTAAGACATACAAGCGAATTTCAAATGTGGTGTTTTAGGACGGAATGAAGAACGACATCAAGGCCTTTGTAGCTGCTTGTAGCATATGCCAACAGAATAAATATGATGCTCTGAGTCCAGCAGGGTTACTCTAACCTTTACCTATTCCTCACCAGGTCTGGGATGATATTTCAATTGATTTCATTATGGGGCTACCCAAAGCGCATGGGGTTGATACTATTCTAGTCGTGGTTGACCGGCTCACCAAGTATAGCCACTTTCTCACTCTTAAACACCCATATACAGCCAAGACAGTAGCAGACCTGTTTGTACAAGAGGTGATCAGGTTGCATGGATTTCCAAGAACCATTGTATCCGATCGAGATAGGGTTTTCATGAGTAATTTTTGGGCTGANACGTTTGGGAAAGTGAGGTGGCAACTTGCTGATGTGTCAAAGGAGGTGGCAATGCCATGTCAGCTGCCACGTCATGAAGTAAGAGGATTGTGTAAAAACATTGTGTAAGGGTAGCATTACTGATCTGAGATTACGTATTTATAAACAAATCATGAGTGTAAGAACCACTTTAGCACTTTATTCCAATTTCCAATAGCACCTTTATTCCAAAATTTCATAGGGGTGCCAAAATTTCAGGTATTCTGATGAGCATCAAACAAAGCTGGTGTACCACAAGAAGGGTGGTGGTAGAAGGTAAGGGAATATTAGGCAGTTGGGATTTGTTATGGGGGAATATTTAGGGAATATCTGTGGAACAGGTGGTAGGATATGAGGGGATGGGGGAGAATTCAGTTAGAACATACAGGTGACAAAACAGAATAAAAAGGGGAGAAGAGAAAAGGGGAGGGAACTGGAATTGTAGAGTGAAATTGCAGGGAGGCTACTGACCCTCGAAGTCAGTGTTTGGGGAGGTGGCTAACCCTCGAAGTCAGTCTACTACTTATCATTTTTCTGGTGTATTTACATTGTCTTTCTGAGTTAATTGTTGTTTGTTGTTGAGCTTTGCTAGGAAAGGACTGTTAGCTTTATTGATAAGGCTGTATGCTTTTAGGGTGATTAATATAACAGATTCTTTTCGTTAAATATTGATTTTGGCGTGGAGTGTGGATTGTTGTTGGTAGTTTTGTCCAGACTGCAGGTCAGATCCTATCATATTCCCAGTGCAGAAAAGCTTTCACAACCAAAGAGATTCTGGAGTCTTGCATTACATAGTATCACCATTTGGTTTAGCGGATCCTAGAAATGCATTTGAAAAACAAGGGGGAATATCAGTTCCTGTAATCTCATGTAAAACAGAATTGGAATTGCTAAATTCATTATCAACACCATTGCATGTCCCCTGATGAAAGAGTAATTTGAGTTGCCGTAACAAAAAGAAATCTATTTTACTCGAAAATTTTTAATCCTTGAATATATTTAGACTGTTCTTTCTTTACCCTTAAGTCCTTACTGTCAACACATTAGCGAGACTGAAAGTGAAGAAGTCTAAAGCAAATTTTTAATTTTGTTGTTCACAACCTTAACCTAATCATGGAGGTTAACCACAAGCATCTTTCTTCTACATGATTTGTTCCCCTACATGATGCTCTTCGAATTCAACACTTGTATGCTTAAACTATGTGTTAGAGACACTCTATGGTAATCATGCTTGGTCAACCCATCACATGGATTACCATGAATTCTCATAACCAATACACTGGATGTTAACTATATTACATTACATGGAGGAATTTTAATCCTTCATTGTTCAACATCAGAACTTTAAAATTTTCAACTCTTAAATTCAAGTTTTAAGATACTTTCTGGGTTGTACTTACTATCTGTATAACTTATGTGGTTTATATTAATGTAGATGCCCAATGAAACAAATATATAATTAGAAGGAATATAAGAAATTCAATTTTCTGAATGAAGAGAAACGAGAAATAGCTTAAAAAATGCAGTAACTATCAAGGTTAAATCAAAATTGAAACTACCAAGGCCTTTTAAAAAATTAATGCTACGCTTGTTTATAGTTGATTGCTTACACTGACAGAAAACATGGAATATAAAAAAGAAAAAGGTACAGCACATGTATAGTCAACACTCTTAACAAAGCTGAAAGCACTAACCTCTTCTTCCCTCACCTTTCTTGTTCGACCTTCTCCCCTTTTGACGGTGTTCTCCCTCGACTATACTTACAATCCAATGAGGCTTTCCTGTTGAAAATACAAGATATCCCATGATCAATCCAAAAACCATTCCACATCCATAGCCTATCAACACCACTTTCCAACCGAATCCAATTGAAGACTCTGCATCATCTTCTAATTTTGTAGGTGGTTGTAGTGTCTCATCACTTTTGCATTCTTTTGACAATGGAAATCCACACAATCCCAAGTTTCCCACATATGAAGTACTTCCAAAGGTATCAAAGTGGGGTGCTCGTGGAATGGGCCCCGTGAGTTGGTTTTGAGACAAGTCTAGCACTCCAAGAAAATTTAAATTTGCTAACTGCCATAGAATTTTTCCAACAAGCTTGTTGGAAGAGAGGTCTAACGATTCAAGAGCATTCAAATTTCCAAGTGACGGTGGGATACAACCTATTAATTTGTTTAAAGAAAGATTGAGATGTAGAAGGGAATGAAGCTCTCCAATTACTTCTGGAATCTCTCTATGGAAGTTATTATTTGAAAAATCAATTGTAGTGAAAGTACTGATAATTTTCACTAGTTCAAACTGAAGCCCTTTCATTGTCACTGTAATGGAATCTTGACAATAACTTTCACGCATATACTGCAACTTTCTCTTTGCTTCTCCAACATCCTTCATGGCATTTAGATTTTCGAAATAGTTGGCTGGCAATGGACCACCAAATTTGTTGTTTGAGAGGTCAAATACTTTCAACTTTGGAAAATAGTGCTTTGTCTTCGAGCAACCCCATACAGAACCATAAAATTGATTTGAATGAAGGACAAGAACTTGCAACTCAGGAAGAGTTTCTAGTCAATATGGGAAGGTATCATTTACCTTGTTGTTACCAATATCTAGAACTTGAAGCATCGTACAATTGACCAGAGATCATGGGATTGGCCCTTCCAATTCATTCTCGTTGATGTTAAGGGTCTTCAAAGGACTGCCCTTTGCAAATTTTCCAGGAATGGTGCCATAGAGTTTATTTTTCTGTAAATCCAACACACGAAGATTGCTAAAGTTTCCCATGCATGTTGGAATTTTACCACTCAAACTATTACTAGAAAGATCTAGAATTCCTATGGTACTCATATTGCAGATCATATCAGGTATCTCTCCAGTCAATTTGTTGTTTGACAACAATAATATTGTCAAGAAAGGTGGTGGAATCGGAATTGGTCCGTGGAGCAAGTTGAACCGAAGGTCTAGAACCTCAAGATTCTTCCAAGGAAGCTGGTCTATGCCGGTTAGGTTGTTGTGGGAAAGATTTAGAAAGGACAAAGTATCCATTCCAACGTCCCCCATCCAATTAGGTATCTGACCACTGATTTTATTGTCAGAAAGGTCGAGGTACTGTAATTGGTTTAGAGTTCTTAACATAATTGGGAATTCACTCAAGTTGCAACCAGATAAGTACAACCACTGAAATTGTGGAAAGGATGAGTTGGCTTTGAATGTAGTGTTTATTGACAGACTATTATGAGAAAGATCAAGAGACTGAAGGTTTTTAAGCTTTGAGAACAAGTGAAGCTCCACAATTCTACTTAAATTGTTTGAAGAAAGATCAAGATTGGTTAAATTCACAATTTCAAAGATTGAACTTGGAATAGAGCCATTTAGTCTATTATCATCCAAATAAATGGTCTACAATAATGGTAGAGTGAATAACCCAGATGGCATTGGACCAGTGAGCTGATTACTTGACAACTCTAAACAAGAAAGTTGCCTTAAGTTGACAAAAACATCTGGAAATTCACCAATCAAATTATTATACGACAGACTCAAATAAGCAAGTTGTGTAAGGTTGCCAAGTGACGCAGGAACTGACCCAGCGAGAGTGCAGTTTCTGAGATACAATTCCCTCAAGGAAAAGAGATTGCTGATTGAATCAAGTAATTGTTCCGACAAGCTCATGTCAGAGACATCCAAAAGCTTGAGTGGGCTGCTCCAATTAACTTTGGAAAAATTACCTGTCAAGTTGAAGTTACCACATAACCGAAGGATCTTCAGATTTGGAAGGCGGAAGATGCTTTCTGGCACATTCCCTTGTAGTTGACACCTTGAGAGACCTAGAGAAGTTAGAGACAAAGATAGATTCGTCAATGAACTAGGTACGATGGCAGACATGTCCACATTGTCAAGAGCAAGGTCTGTTAACACAGCCAGATTTTGAGGTAGCCTTTCCAAAACAACTCTTTCAATTAGCAAACTATTATTTTTATTCTTTGGGTAGTTATAATTCCATGAGAGGTCAAGTGAAACCAATTTAGACAAATGGGAGATTTCAGATGGAATTTGACCACTAAAGTTTGAGGCAGAGAGATTAAGATGTGTCAAACTGGTCAACTGACCAAAATCAGAAGAAATTTGGGAGAGATTAAAATCATTGTGAGCTAGATTGAGTCTTTTTAATTGAGGAGGAAGAAATAGGGTAATGTTGGAAGGGATGTTGCCAGAAAGCCAACTACAGCTAAAGTCCAGGCCAATCACATGACCTATCACCAAATTACATGTAACACCATCCCATGAGCAACAATCATAATCCTCTTTCCAAGATATCATTTTTGGATAAGAAGGAACATGTTGATGATTACAATACCGTGAGGAATCACTTTTGAAGGAAAAGAGTTGCTTGAAGTGGAGCAATGCAGAACTCTGGTGATGAGAGCAGGGTGTTGCAGAAGTATGAGAATAAAAGAGGAATAGTTGGAGGAAGAGAAGTTGATAAGGCCATGCTAGACAACCCATTTTTGTTTATGATGAATCACAAGAAACGATATGATTATAAATAGAAGAGAATTGGAAAGTAAAGTAAAGTTTGCATATGTAGGGAGACTTGAATTTGTGGTTAATGCATGTCAAAAAGTAAAGTCTTCCATGTGAAAAACACAAGATAGGGTTGACGCAGAAAAGCAAGCATTATTCTTTTCACCATTATACTAAGAGTTGCAACTTTTGAAAATAAATGATTTAGGGTTTCCTGTTGAGAACACTAAATATCTTATTGATTGTTTTCATTTGAGTCTTGGTCCTTGCTTTGAATATTCCAGAAAATGTAATTGAAAACTTTCTTTTATCTTGTGGCGGTCAACCAACACTATCTTTCTAATAAAACTGAGAAATATGATATAAGAGTTGATGAATGATGAAGTTATATATCTGATAAACAAATGGTGTTATGTTTTGAAGATGGCAAATTAAATTACTCATGCCATGATTCATGACTTAATGTTGTTATAATCTGGCTATATTATTGAACACAAGTTACCTGCATTGAAGAAACAGGGCAGGGCCGAAGAGCCAGAGGCCCCATGAATTACTATTCTGAATAAATATCACAAATTAATTCCAACATTTGTGAAACTGAAATTCAACAAAATAGAAGAGAAATGGAGGGTCACTATTGTAGAAATTAATTGAAGTCTTGGTCACGCATAGATGTCTTGTAGATTACAAATGTTATTTTCCAAGAGGTGTCGAGGAAACTAAATATGGAATCTTATCATTGGCTAGACTTAATTGATGCTAATTGAGATATCTTTTGTAGGCTACTAATGAAATTTACTGTAAATTAGTATTATACCAAACTTCATTGACCCAAAAGTAATTATAAGTGGGGTTCTTTGATTTCACAAAGTTGCAGTGGAGGTTCCAATGTCGACTAGACTAAACTCTGGCTAATTATGTAAGGAGACTTGAACTGTGGCTAACGAGTCAAAAAGTAAATGCTTTTCTCAGTCTCATATAGTGTGGACTACTTCATGAATTATTGATCAATCTTGGTCTTCACTAGCTAAATATGATTCCAGGAAGGAGGGCAGGGCTGAAGAGCCAGAGGCCCCGTAAAGTACTATTCTGAATAAATATCACAACTTACAACACTTGTGAAGCTGAAATTCAACAAAATAAAAGAGAAATGGAGGGTCACTACTATAGAAATCAATTGAAGTCTTGGTCACCCATAGATGTCTTGTAGATTACAAATGTTATTGTCCAAGAGGTGCCAAGGAAATTAAATATGGAATCTTATCATTGACTAGACTTAATTAAGGCTAATTGAGATATCTTTTGCAGGCTAGTAATGAAATTTACCGTGAATTGGTATCTTACCAAACTTCATTGACCCAAAAGGAATTATAAGCAGGGTTCTCCAATTTCACAAAGTTGTAGTGGAGGTTCCAGTGTTGACTACACTAAACTTTGGCTAACTATTTAAGGAGACTTGAACCGTGGCTAACGCGTGTCAACAAGTAAATGCTTTTCTAAGTCTCATACAGTGTAGACTACCTCATGAATTATTGATCAATCTTGGTCTTCGCTATATATGATTCCAAGAAATATTATTCAGGACTCAGAACAATCCTATACCAACCAAACAAGGCCTTTTTTCTATTTCTGTATCACCAAAAAGACAAGGAAAAAAAAAAAAAAACTAATATCTACATTAACTGAATGAATGAAAATTAATTTTACTTAAAAAGTAGATTTAACTATGCTGATGGATGTTTACCAAAGTGCAAAATATTTTAATTTTATTACTTGATTTTGTTGATTTACTTGTAATTAGAAGGAGAAATATGATTAAAGTCTTGGTCTACTAGCTTGGAAACAAAAATGTCTCTGTTATTGATTTAGCATATTCATTCTCTGTTGGAGTCATCTTCTTCTTGTATACTAGAATGCAAACTATATATTTACTATCCTGGATAAGGTTTTTTTCGCTTGTTCTTGGGCCCTTGAAGTGAGGAACGGGGCAACAAGACTTCTCAGTTTAATTATAAGTCTTGGTCTAAGTGGGATATGTAAAAAAGAATGTTGCCGTGCTTGAAGTCGCTTTCTTCCTTAAAATTTTATTCTTCCTATTGTATGGTCAATATTGAGATACTCTAATTTGAGCAGTAAGCACACGCGGAAGCAAAACCCAATGAGCACAGATGTTGCAAAGGAATTTAGATGATTAAGATGAAAATGTTGATATATGTATGGTTATTGCTATTTCTTGAAATTCAGCGAACATTCCTCATCTTATAGATCTTTTCTATACTTCCCGTTCATTCTATCTCTTGAGTCCAGATCATATTCCGGTGACTGTAAATGCTTCTTAAAATTTCAAGTTAATCTGCTGAACATGATCTGATTATAACTTATAAATTCTAAGCCATGTTATAGTAACAAGCGCAATAGAGGGATGTTACGGCCCCTACATTGCCAAACAAGCATTCTATCACAGGAGAATAATTTCTTTATTTGCATATGCAAGAAAAGAACTCTGTCATAAGAGTTTTCTAATCTAACAGAAATATCTAAATTTTCACTTCTATAACTAAAATTTTTAAATTTTAGAGAGTGTCATAGGAATTGTTACCCATAATTATCACCTGCACGAAAGAAAGCGTAGGGCTTAAGAGCCAAAGGCCTCGTAAATTACTATTCTGAATAAATATCACAACTTACAATAATGTGAAGTGAAATTCAACAAAATGAAGAGAAATGGAGGGTCACTACTGTAGAAATCATTTGAAGTCTTGGTCCCCCATAGATGTCTTGTAGATTACAATTATTTTTCCAGAGGTGCCGAGGAATTAAATATGGAATCTTATCATTGACTAGACTTAATTGAGGCTAATTGAGATATCTTTTGTAATAAATGAAATTTACCGTAAATAGTATCTTACCAAACTTCCTTGACCCAAAAGGATTAAAGCAAGGTTCTCCAATTTCACAAAGTTGCAGTGGAGGTTCCAATGTTGACTAGCTAAACTTTGGCTAACATTTAAGGAGACTTGAACCGTGGCTAACGCGTGTCAACAATAAATGTTTTTTTCTAAGTCTCATACAGTGTGGACTACTTCATGAATTATTGATCATCTGGTCTTTGCTATATATGATTCCAGAAATATCATTCAGGACTCAGAACAATCATATACCAACCAACAAAGCCTTTTTTCTATTTCTGAATCACCCAAAAGACAAGGAAAAAAAAAAAAAACTAATATCTACATTAACTGAATGAATGAAAATTAATTTTACTTAAAAAGTAGATTTGAACTATGCTGATGGATGTTACCAAAGTGCAAAATATTTAATTTTATTGCTTGATTTTTGTTGATTTACTTGTAATTAGAAGGAGAAATATGATTAAAGTCTTGGTCTACTAGCTTGGAAACAAAAATGTCTCTGTTATTGATTTAGCATTTCATTCTCTGTTGGAGTCATCGTCTTCTTGTATACGAGAGGCAAACTTATAGTTTACATATATGGAGTTATAGCTTGTTATGGGCCCTTGCATGAGGAACCTGGCAACAAGACTTCTCAATTTAACTATAAGTCTTGGTCTAACTGGGAGTAGAAAAAGAATGTTGTAGTGCTTGAAGTCACTTTCTTACTTAAATTTTTCTTCTTCCTATTGTATGGTCAATATTGAGATACTCTAATTTGAGCAGTATCAACACACTGAAGCAAAAACCCAATAATCAAGAGTTTGCAAAAGAATTTAGAGATTATGAAATTGTTGATATATGTGTATGGTTATTGTTATTTCTTGAAATTCAGTGGACATTCCTCGTCTTAAGATCTTTTCTATATTTCCCGTTTCTATCTATTTTCTGAGTGCAGATCATATTCTTGTGACTGCAAATGCTCTTTAAAATTCAAGTTATTCTGCTGAACATGAATTTTATATTAACTTATAATTCTAAGTCATGTTAATAGTAACAAAGGCAATAGATGATGTTATGCCCCCTGCATTGCCAAAAACAAAGCATTTGGCAAAGAGAATGAGATTCTTCTTTTTATTTGCATATCCAAGGGATTATGTGAGAAATTTTTCTAATCTAACGAAATATCTAAATTTTCAGCTTCTATACACTGAAATTTAAAAATTTTAGAGAGTGTTAGGAATTGTTACTCATAATTATTCAACCAAAAGTAGCATAACGATCCACTTGAACCTTCTAATTTCTCTTCCCCCTATATCTGATTCCCCGAGGTATAAATCCCACAAGCTAGTTTGTACGAAAGGTTCAATACGGAAAAAATGATAAACATGCATCAAATCTAACTAAAGTCGAACTAAATAAAAGCATATAGCTTCATCAGACTAATAAAAATATTTCTCAGAATCCATGTTATATCAAAACAAGCAACCAATAGAAGGAACTAATGCACTAATTATGTCTGTGTTGGTATACTAATTACCAACCTCCAAATTGTTGACCTTTATGTACTCCCATATACGTCTGAAAACCTCTGATTGGAGAATCTCCCTCTCACCACACCCAAAAAAAAATACTAGGGCCTCAGATATGATAACAGAAGGACCAGGTTCACTGCTGGGCAGCCCAAGGGGGTAGGCAGGTCCCAAAAAATAGGGCCACAAAAGGCCAAATTTAGCCCCAAGCATACCATGTCACTTTTATACCAAATCCTTACTTGTAGACTCAAGAGTGTTGGAGTTGTTGCCACTCCAGTATTAATGAGCTTTTTTCATGAAGAATCACTAAAAGATTTCTTTAAGTTTTAAATTCATTATTCGGTTTAGGCTTAGAATAGAAATCTTGTAA